ATCTTCATTGGCCGACCTCAAGGCATCCACTGCTCAACTTGTGGGCGTCATTGCCGGCGCCGGCACGTCCCGGCCGGCTCAGTGCACGTCCACATTGCTCTGGCAAGGCAGGTCACCAATCGTTGGTAAGTTGCACTTATTAAATTAGTTTACCATTGATGTTTCTAATATCCGGGTAGGCTGACATCATCCGGGTGCATGAGAAAGGGGATTACATCCCTGGCATTGTGGCTTCCTGTTCTAAGGAGCTGATGAGGGTGCGTTCCATGACTCCCCAGGTGTTGCCCAACTGGCACAGCATTGGCCATGATGATCCCCGGGTGGCTAGACACGCCTGGCGCAAGCAGGTCCGTGCCTGGGAGGCGTTGGGTGACAATTCCTGTGATCTCCCTGTTGTTTCTAATCCTTCCACTGGCCCACTGACTGTCAATCTTCCGTCTCCACCTGTCCCTTCCCCCGCACCTGTCCCTTCCCCGCCACTGTCATTCACTCCCCTCCCGTCGTCGCCGGCAATGTCGCCGGACCTTCCGGCAAGACGACCTCCGAGTTCCGGGACAAAGGAAAGGTAAGGCCATTTCTGTTGACTTGGAGCCGGAAGTCGGAGGGAGCAACAAGAGGAAGTCCCCCATGATTTCTGGACACTCCTCCCAACCTCCGAAGTCGGCGATGAAGGGTCACAAGCGTGTCAAGTCAACTGGACCCCCAAGTCAAAGCCGTTTGTGGAGTCGAAGATGATGAAGACCCAATTGTTCAGGTATGTGTTCTGGCTCATTTGTGACATGCTCTCAATTTGTTGTAGCCGATTTCGCGTGGAGTGCCGGAGGTCGTCCTTCCCAGCTCTCCACCATTGTTGTAAGCCCCAGTTGCCTCGTTCACCTGGTTCCCCCAAGAAGCAATCATTTGGGCCTGCTTCGGTAAGTCTGATTTAGTCGTCCGGAACTCATATATATGCTCATGTGTCCACAGCTGACTGCCGCAAGCATCTGGAGGTCATGGTGAGTCTTCCGGACAGGTCCGGAACTCGCATGTATCATTCTTACTCATGCCCATCGCATTAGGAATCTCCCATCAGTCGTCCGAGGCTCGGGTAAGTCTTACAAGCTCGCCCGGAACTCACATGTGTACTTACAATTTATCAGGCAACCTCCGGCAGTCGTCCGGAAGTTGAGGAGTCCACTGGTGATACTTCCAGCGCTTCGGACGGTGACCCTCCGGCCACTACCACATTTGATATCACCATTCCCGGCCCAGTGAGTGCTCAATTAATTCCCCTAGTCCATCTACTAACGGATACCACAGAACAACCCCTGCCATTATTGCGTCAAGGAGAATTGGCCCTGTGCGACTCGTTTGGACAAGAGGTCCAGCCTCCCCTGCTTGTCTTGCATCCGCTGCTCCACCAAGAAGATCAAATGCAACCCGGCATCTCTGGGATCCCCGCCCAAACGGACCCGAGGGAAGTCTACCACGGGACGGACGTGTTCCAAGACACCTGCCCCTGCTCCATCCACTGCTCCGTCTCCCTCCCGGTCAAGGGCCCGGACTCGTAGTCAATCTCGTGGCCCGTCCCGAACTCCGGCCATCCCTGCTGCAAGTACACCCCAGGTGCAGTCACGTGGTCGCAGCAAGACCATCACTACCAAGAAGACACCTGCACCTGCACCTGCACCTGCACCTGCGCCAGCTCGTAAGTCACCCACACTTTTGATGACCGGCTGACCTTATTTTTACTTAGCTGTTCGGTCTTCCCATGCCGTGCATCTCCATTCCATGGCAATCGCGATTCGGGATGGTGCAGCTCGCATCGCTATTCTTGAGGCTCGGGTGCAGGAGCAGGATGCTAAGATTGATACCCTGCAACGCCTCCATGAGAGCCCCGGCGCACGATGGTCGACCCGCACCCTTCATTTTCACTTCCGGACACACCGGCCGATGCAACAATCTTGCTTGATCAATCTGGTCCCCCCCGTCCATTTCACCCCTCCCCTCCACACTTTCCAACCTCATTGATTTGGACATGTCAGTCATGGAACCCACACCCTTGATGGTTGAGGATGGATCTGCTATGGTAGGTCTCATGGTTGAGCCCACCCAAGTTCAGCCTGAGGGTCCACAATCCTCCGGCGAAATTGTGCTCCCGGATGAACCAGGCAACCTCTTGCCAGAATCCTCCGGCGATATTGTGGTCCCTAATGAACCAGGTAACCTCCTGCCAGAATATGATTCCTCTGATGAGGATATGGATGTTGAGGGGAAGGTTGATCTTCCTGGTGAGGAGGTTGCAATGGCTACATAATTGCTCAGTGATAGATGTACATAAATCTTTTTCAATGCATGTTACCTATGCCACAATTGAATGATTCAATAATCAGTCCCGATATCCAGAACTCGAAACTGTAGATTGAGGTAGATATCACCCTACACCCTAACACCCGAATGTCAAATTTTCAGTGCCAACCCCGAGTGCCGGGTGCCGGGTGCCGAGTCCCAAAGCCCGGAACTCAGATTTGACATTTGAGACGAACATCATTTTTCAAACATGTTTCTATCAACCTCCGTATATCTATAAACATTTTACTAACCTCCAAACCCCGAAATATATTTTTGTTGTCTCATACCGAGTTCCGAGTTCCGGGACCCCCGAACCCCGAAACCCGGCAGTCCACAATTTTGGGGTTCGGGTGATTGACGGACACATTGACTTTGTTAAGACCATGCACAAAGGGTAGGACTGATTCCAAGGGGCTTGGCTTCAGCTCGTGCGCTGCGCCCCTTACCCGAGTATGTGCCCTTAACTTCAGAATGAAGTCCGGAGAAAGTCCAGTGAAGTCCGAAGGACTTCCGGAGAAGCGTGGGAAACTTCGGAAAGACTTTCCGGACGAGTGCGAGAAACTTCCGGATGAGTGCGGGAAAGTTCCGGAGGAACTTCCGGAAATTACGATGGAGTTTCGTCCTGACGGGGATATGTGTAATGGCTACTCAGGACAAGTCCTGAGTAGAAGCAAACAGAGGAAAGGCTGTGTCATATCCCGCATTCCGGACCAACATCTGACGACGTTCCCACGCCTCATCCGGACCTCCGGACCTCCTGTCCATGTCTCCAGACCCAATCCTCTATCCGTCCGGATCCCTGTACTCCTGCATCTGATATCCGGATGCCAGATCTGATATCCACATCTCCGGATCTCCGGATCCGACCTATCTGTCATGTCCGAACCCAAACCTTAAATCAGCGCCCATCCCCTTATGGTAATCACCTGTCTCCGGACTTCCGAACATCCGGATCCGACCCACGTCTATCTTCCTTGCGTTCCGGACCCAGACCTATCACGCATTCATCTCCGGACATCCGGATCCGACCCGCGTCTATCTTCCGTGCCTTATCCCTTTGTATGTTCCTTCTTGAGTTAGACTTCCTCATTTTCCGTACCTCATTTCATCTCCGAGTTCATTTCCTATGATCCGTCTTATTTTCTAATACATTTCCACATGCTCGTACATAGCCTTACCCCTCTGCTTACTGATCTGCACAGACTTGCCTCTAGTATATAAACCCCAGTAGATACTCCTGTATTTCCTCAGTCTGAATATCATACACATATTAGTCCTCGCACTAGTCTTCACACTAAGTCCTCGTAACAGTTCTATTCCTCCGACTTAGTAATCATCCATCTCAGGCCTAGGGAGGAATTCCCTAGGCCGGAGCTCCGCTCCTCCGCTCCTCCGCTCCTCCGCTCCTCCGCTCCTCCGCTCCTCCGCTCCTCCGCTCCTCCGATCCTCCACTCATCCACTCATCCGATCCTCCATTCCTCCGAGTTTCCGGAAGTTCCTCCGAGTTTCCGGAAGTTCCTCCGGAACTTTCCCGCGGTCCTCCGGACCTATTCTGCTTCGGACTTTGTCCTTGCAGCCTTTCCTCTGTTTCCTTCTACTCAGGACGAGTCCTGAGTAGCCATTATACATATCCCCGTCAGGACGAAACTCCATCGTAATTTCCGGAAGTTCCTCCGGAACTTTCCCGCACTCATCCGGAAGTTTCTCGCACTCGTCCGGAAAGTCCTTCCGAAGTTTCCCACGCTCCTCCGGAAGTCCTTCGGACTTCACTGGACTTTCTCCGGACTTCATTCTGAAGTTAAGGGCACATACTCGGGTAAGGGGCGCAGCGCACGAGCTGAAGCCAAGCCCCTTGGAATCAGTCCTACCCTTTGTGCACGGTCTTAACAGTATATTCAGACTCACACCTTACCGAGTATACTGAATCCTTAGATCATACCTGAAATCGGATCCGACACCGTCCCTTGGAAACTGTGTATTCCTCCTCCGAACCCTCCATTTTCCTGTATCCCATTTCCGATGAAAACTCCGGATTTTCCGGAGCTCATTCTCCATTCCCTGCATCTGTAAACACCCGCCGGAATGCTCAATTTCCACCCTTCATGCTCTGCTGTCATTTCCACTTCAGTACCACGAAACTCCGGTCCTGAAACCAAACAGGATTGCCACCTCTGTGGCAGAACAAATAGATCTCAGGACTTTGTGTCCTGTAATTCCCTGATCCGATCATATCTTTCCGACACCCCACAGTTCCCTGTAACTCCGACGTTTTCCGTTTCCGAACTATTTCCTGAACTGGCAAAGTCAACTCCGGAATGTCTCAAACATTCAACTCATTTGGATTCTCCTCGTACCACCTAGAATATACTTGCTCACCCACCATGATCCGTTGATCAATAGGGTATTTTGCAGACCTCCTTTCCGATTGGTACTACAGGAAATGCCTTAGACCTCCGACGTCAAATCCGCTTTTTTGCGGAACCCCTATCTTCGGACTAGCCATGTTCCTTCCACTGGTTTATTTCCAGTCCGCCTCCATGTTGGATGGCACCTCCTCCGGTCAAAGTCCGGACCCCTATCCACCATTCATATCCGCCACCCATTTAGCATTCACCTTGTATTGGTATCCATTACCCTCCTTGTAGGGGAACTCCGTCTTTCATGATGGTTTTCCTGCCAAGTGTTCGGGTTTTGATTCCTCTGACAATGGCCCGCTCGGGTTCCTGCCTCCATTTCCGGATGGCACTCTTTCCTCCGCTCTAGCCCCTATTTTCCCTTCCATCGTCCGGAAGTTCTTTGTTGATTCTCCTCCGACATTGGGAATGTCTCCCGAAAGGGAGGATAGGAATTTTGCTTCCGTTACATCCTATGCAAATTCCTGACCATTTCCTGGCCTCATTATCCACCTCCGGACCTTCAAACCAAAACTCCGGAGCTCCTCCGATTCATTCTCCGGAAGAAGGTCCTGGAAAACCCTCTGTTCCTCTCCAGAAGCCTGTCAGTTCTTACATCCGACATCCCGTCCGAATCAACAACTTTCCGAACCCCTCCGCGTTTTACCCCTATTTTCCGGAAGTTTGTAACTCCGGATCTCTATTGGCTTTCTTGATGAAGGTCTCTGCCCCTCCGATCTATAACTCCGGTTTGCTCCTTGTCATCTCTGAACTTTTCCGGATCAGAATAAACATGCTTTGCGATTGTTCTTTACTGTTACTGATACCACGTCCACTCCAGTTCCTGCCCATTTTCCTCCGGGTCCAGGAAATTGTTGAAGATAGCTCCAGATAGCTTCGGATAAGCTCCGGATAGCTTCGGATATCTTCGGACATCCGGACTTTTCAGTATCAAAGTATTCCTTCGTGTTATGGCTCCGGATAGCTTTGGATAGCTTCGGATAAGCTCCGGATATCTTTGGATATCTTCGGACGTCCGGACTTTTCAGTACCAAAGCATTCCTTCGCGTTATAGCTCATCCGTCCATTCCATTGTCAAATCTCCATGTTTCCAAAAGATCTGTTCACTCCTCTGCTCCAGGACAAGTTACACCTGCTCCGGATCCGAAACACTCCTATGGGTATTCCATGCCATAGCCCGGACATGTTTTATACAATTGTCCATCCTCCGTCCTCACTTTTCCACTCTGCAATCCTTCCATCCGTCCTCCCGTCCTTTTTTCTCCGGATACCAATGTCCGACCTTTACCCCTATTTCCGGAGCTCAATACTCCGGATTTCCGGTGGCTTTCTTCATGGAAGCTCCTACTCCTACCTCCAATGCACCCCTTGTCTCTGGACCGCCTCCATTTGGAATGGATATACTTTGCAATAGCTTGGAGTTGCTTCGGACCCGCTTCCGCTCCTGTCTTAAAATCCCTCACCATTCAATAGTGTCTTCTCTGGAATCTGTTTCGGATCCGGAAAAGCACTGGTGATACCTCCGAAGTTTTTAGCACTACAGTCCTGCGTTGCATTGTATCTTCCGTTCCATTCTGTTCACTCTTGTGACTCACGTCCAGTTTCCTCCGAAAATCCGAAGCTCCTGCCGGAACCCTGTGCCCATTTTTCCTCCATTGATGTTTGGAAACATCTTCCAAAAGGGGGGATAGGGACTCCGCTTGAGTATTCACTTCACCCTCTTCAGCTTGTATTCCATCCGGAATTTACTTGCTCCGTCCCATAAAAGAACAATTTCCACTGTCTTGCACAGTCATTCATGCATGTGCAGCTTTCCTATCCGACCCATAACCTATCCGGACCATTCAGTTGTATTTCCGGCCGGATCAGCTCCGGAAAACCGCGGGAAAAGCGCACATTACATTGCATATCATTCGAAAACATCCGGAACTATTCATCCATGATCTTTCTAGGCCATTGATAGTCATCCGATGCATTTGACTTCACTGCCTAGTGTTCCATCGTGTTTGACTGCGCTTCCACCTCACTTCCTCTATGTTCCGATCCACCTCCTATGGGTTTCCACGCCATAGCCCCTATCATCCGGAACTCCGGAATTCCGAACCACTTGCAAACACCTCTGTCATATCACATACATCTCCTCCGATGATCTGTTCTCTTCCTCCGCTTTTCCGACTCAATATCCGTTCTGACTCCCATCGGATATTTCACCATAGACCCTGGCATTGCCAAACACTTACGTCCGGACCTCCTATCATGTTTTCCGACCACATCCGACCCTAATCTGACAAACCCACTTCCAAGTCCACTGCGTCACCTCCACCGATAAAACCGACTATATATCCCTAGTTAACGCAGTCGCCTGTTGCAGGACTTGCGAGCTAGAAGGAGCCGGCCCATTTCAGTATCCACCTCCACCTGACCAGTGTTGACCTCCGGACCATTGATTTCCGGTCTGTTGCATCCCTTCCGAAACCTCCTGGAAAGCATTTCCGGAGTTCCATCGGAAAATCGCGTCTTTGCAGATGTTGTCAATCCACGCAATCTCCGGCCCATCAAACAGCTTGCTCCGTCCTTTATGAGCCTATACACTAGCTATCCTTTTGCTCTAGCAGCTGTACCAATGGATATCGAATATTCCGGAAAGACATCCTCTCTGCACTCCCATCCTTCCTCTGCATTTCCGACCCTCCGCGTTTTTGACCCTTTGTGTTTCTGATCTCCGTGTTTCCGACCCATTCCTCTGCTATCATCATCCTTCCGTCCGACTCCTGTTGGTTCCCACGCCATAGCCCTACTCCGAACCATTCGGATCCATCCGCCCCATCATCAGGATTTCCATCCACCATGCGTGTTTATCAAAAAGCCTCACACCGTGTGCAAAATCCTGCTATTTGCATTAACTTTCAGTGCACCTGGAAACTCCGCCCATGACCTCTCGCAGTGTGCAACCAAAGCTCCGGAACATTTCCGGTCTTAGGGGCTAATTTCCGGAAGCTCACAGTCATATCCAGCAGATTCCTCTGACGCACTTCCGGCTCGAGTGATAGCACACATCGCAGATCGAAATCCATTCAACCTCAGACCTCCGTACAAAGGAAATCATGCCTCATAGCACTCCTTTCTCACTTCCTGCACTCCAGAAGTTCATCAGTCATCATGCGATTACATCTCCGATCATTTTCCGGTCATAGGGGCTAATTTCCGGATTTCCGATGATGCACTTATCCTTAGCTGTACCTCAGTACAAGCTCTGCTTCATGGAGAAAGATATGTCTCACAGGACTCCTCCGTCACATCAGAAAGAGGCCTGCATCGTATCCACTCTTGCCCTCTTGTCCTGCACTCGCTGCATTTCCACTGTCCTGATACAACCTCCTCCGCTCTGAAAGCTTCCTCCGATTTTCCCACGCATTTTCCGGACTTCCAGTCACCTTCGGAATTATCCTCAAAGTGTTCCAGACTTCCACTCCGGAAACCTATTTGTCCTCACATCACATCACCATTCTTCACCACCGTCTATGACGTCCAGTTTCCAGATGAAGTACTAGGCATCATAATGAACCATGTGTGTGTCAGGAACATTTCCGAAACCTCCGGAGATTTTCAGCTCATAGGAACCAATCCTCCGGAATCCATCCATCATTGTCCTCTGCCATATACCAGCAATCTCCGTTCGGGACTTCCTGAGTCTTCAGCCTCGAGGGCTCGGCCTTAAAGGGGGGATACTGTCATATCCCGCATTCCGGACCAACATCTGACGACGTTCCCACGCCTCATCCGGACCTCCGGACCTCCTGTCCATGTCTCCAGACCCAATCCTCTATCCGTCCGGATCCCTGTACTCCTGCATCTGATATCCGGATGCCAGATCTGATATCCACATCTCCGGATCTCCGGATCCGACCTATCTGTCATGTCCGAACCCAAACCTTAAATCAGCGCCCATCCCCTTATGGTAATCACCTGTCTCCGGACTTCCGAACATCCGGATCCGACCCACGTCTATCTTCCTTGCGTTCCGGACCCAGACCTATCACGCATTCATCTCCGGACATCCGGATCCGACCCGCGTCTATCTTCCGTGCCTTATCCCTTTGTATGTTCCTTCTTGAGTTAGACTTCCTCATTTTCCGTACCTCATTTCATCTCCGAGTTCATTTCCTATGATCCGTCTTATTTTCTAATACATTTCCACATGCTCGTACATAGCCTTACCCCTCTGCTTACTGATCTGCACAGACTTGCCTCTAGTATATAAACCCCAGTAGATACTCCTGTATTTCCTCAGTCTGAATATCATACACATATTAGTCCTCGCACTAGTCTTCACACTAAGTCCTCGTAACAGTTCTATTCCTCCGACTTAGTAATCATCCATCTCAGGCCTAGGGAGGAATTCCCTAGGCCGGAGCTCCGCTCCTCCGCTCCTCCGCTCCTCCGCTCCTCCGCTCCTCCGCTCCTCCGCTCCTCCGCTCCTCCGCTCCTCCGATCCTCCACTCATCCACTCATCCGATCCTCCATTCCTCCGAGTTTCCGGAAGTTCCTCCGAGTTTCCGGAAGTTCCTCCGGAACTTTCCCGCGGTCCTCCGGACCTATTCTGCTTCGGACTTTGTCCTTGCAGCCTTTCCTCTGTTTCCTTCTACTCAGGACGAGTCCTGAGTAGCCATTATACATATCCCCGTCAGGACGAAACTCCATCGTAATTTCCGGAAGTTCCTCCGGAACTTTCCCGCACTCATCCGGAAGTTTCTCGCACTCGTCCGGAAAGTCCTTCCGAAGTTTCCCACGCTCCTCCGGAAGTCCTTCGGACTTCACTGGACTTTCTCCGGACTTCATTCTGAAGTTAAGGGCACATACTCGGGTAAGGGGCGCAGCGCACGAGCTGAAGCCAAGCCCCTTGGAATCAGTCCTACCCTTTGTGCACGGTCTTAACATTAGCCGAGAGTGAAGGTGCCCACGCGAAGGATGCTTCAAGGTTCTGTGCAGTCTGGCAGCAGTTTGCAACGCGCCAACCGAAAGGCCTCGGGAAACTGGTGATTGTTGACTCGCCAGCGAGTATGGCGCTATATGTTAAGGCCGCAAATGAGTTGAGGAAGGAGTTGCCGCAAGAAGTTCAGGATGCGTTTAATAAGCACGAGGCGTTGAATAAGCACGAGGCGGCGGATACAACAACGGATCCAGAGTATATCGCCGCAACGAACGAGATATCAATGAGATCTTGGCTGGTGCATTATCGAGCTGGATGGACTTGAGAATCGTTGCACCGTCATTCGTCACGTTGATGTCTCCCGAGGATCCCGACTGCAGAATCTTATTCATGCCCTTTGGCCCGAGCGTTGATTTTACGAGATCGCCGAGGGCGAGGGCGCCGACGAAAGAGGATAGACGAGCTTTTTCAGCTTTTTCCTCGGTTGCCTGGATGAAACCTAGTGACGTCGAGCACAATAAGTCATCAATCTGCCATACTTACCTCGTGACCGAATTATGTGCATGGACATGACTTACAGTAGTTTTGGTGTTTGCGGGACAAGTTTAAAGTCAATTCTTCACGTTCGATTATGTAATACACAACCTTCAAGTTGGGGTTATGTAAAATTTTGTAAATCACTTAGACGATTTGCATCTTACAAAAATGCTCTCACCGCGATTTCTAAGAGGGCGGGAACACCACTACCTTCTCTCATAGTTTCTTTTGCCATCCTTCATGAATTACCTGCCATCGTTCCTATTGTGGGCATTTTTACACAGCACGCAGTCTAGGCGCAGGCGAGCGCGTTGTCAATGCTGTTGCTCTCCAGACTCCAACGAGATGGCTCTATCGATGACCAGTATTGGGTGAACACCCCGCTGAGATCGTGGGTCAATGAGGGCGAGCAATGGGCTGGTCGCGTTGGATGTCGATATGGCATCTTTGGTGCAAGGTCGTCGACCAGACCCAGGCGCGCGAGTTGTCTGGTAAGCTAGCGGAGGACGTTGCTAATGCGGTTCTGGCTTATGGTGCAGTCAAGGTTTTTTTCTTCTTCACCACGGTTGGGATAGTCATGACTGATATTCATTCAGGTACTTTTACCCGTCTTTCGTTATATCTTTCTCCAATGTTCTCTCGGACAGTTTTTTTTTTAAAAAAAAATTACATTTTATTGTCCTTTGGGGTCGAAGACCCTATGTCGGACATAGCCCTATTCGAGTGCGGGGGGCTTGCTCCCGGCTTTCTATCGTATGATCTCGGACAGTTGTGCAGCCGATTCGATTGGGGGCCTCTGTCTATTGGGACGCAGACCGAAATCTATGTAAAAGGTGGGTGACGTTCCTATTTTTTTCGTGATGATTTCGCTTGCCGCCCCAGTCGTAGCTATAAGCGTTGACGAACGGTAGAGCATAAGCCAAATATTTGCACCACTGATTCTATCCTTGCCTCTTTCTTTCCATAAACTCGAAGCTTACTATCTGTCTCACAGGTTATCGTTATATAAATGGCACACTCCTACTAGGCATGAGCATACCCTTTTGTCACTTAAAAGTTGTCTTATGCAATGCTTATTTCTGTTTGGATCTTTTTCTTTCTTTCCTCCCAGTCAAATTGGCTCCTCAAAGACTTGTTCCACCTTTGGTGATGCCTCATTCCCTGGGGAGAGCGCTTCTATCTCGTCCTAGTGTCTCGTGCTACATGCGATTTCAGTGGAGCACATCTGGATGACTTATAGGCACATGTCCCACCTTCAGGATGTAGCCTGCCATCGTATCTTATTAGAACTTATAGGATCGCTGTTTGTGTTGTCGACTTCTGATATGGATTAAATTGTGAACTTTTGCACTGGTCTAGACCCATCCTGAGATGACGATGGGATGGAATTGACCTATTCTGCCAACATCTCTGTTCGGCGTCAGCGCGACTAACGCCTGTCAGGTAAGTGAAACGCTGATCAATGTCATCACTGCATATTCATATAATCTCAAGTTAACACGTCATGATCAGCGCATACACGAATCTTGTACGAGAGTGCCATTCGATCATAAGCTCAACACCTCTGTCAGGTGCACTTCGACGACATTAACTTGCAGCTTGGTAAAACATTCTGCCCACCACAGTAGAGCATCAACTACGGAGTAACGACCATCGCCACACTCTGCCAACCTGGCGCACGTGCGCACGCGGCGAGCAGGATGAACAAGCCTGCATATCATCAACTTGTCAAGTTCAAGGACGGCGTCCGACTGACTCAGCTGGTCAATATCACCTTTGAGTCGGCGATCTTCTCATGCTCCTGGAATCTCTCATCCGACGCAAGCTTTTTTCACTCGTCGCAGGAATCAGCTAAGATCGTGCAGTAGCTTACAACTGCTCAGTCGCTGAAGGGAATAGTAAACACCGGCATGGTACCTTAGCTTTATCTCTAGCGCAGTATGACAGAACTGGAATGTGCTTCGCCTACGGTGGATATATCTAATTGTCCGAAGCGTTTGATCCTCGGCTGCCTGACTTGACGAAAATACCGACATAAATGTGCTGATCTTCGGGAACCTACATGTAGGATGTGTTTGGGACTTGATCAATCTGACCTTGCAAGCAAGGTGACTTCAGATGAACTTTCACCAGCTTTCCCATTAGAATTCGCCTCAGGCAGCGCTGGCCACGAAAACTAGCTCAAGGATCTTTCTCTCTCTGTATATGTGCAGTGTGATGGAGCCGACGAGACGTTGCTTTATTGCGCGACAAACATGTTATTTTCTAGTATACAGTTGACATTCTCATAATGCATAACGCTGGTCCCGGATTCCCTATATACCCGGCCGATGCATTGCATTTGCATTTGCATTTGCATTTGCATTTGCATTTGCAGTTGTCTTTTCCTCTTTTCCTCTTGGAAATAACGTTCAATTTCTTTAAGTCAGCGACGCCATACTCCTGGAAGTGCGGTGTATAACTGACCGTGTGCGAACGAATCTATGCGCAGGTCAAGCACGACTTTCTCAGGCATTAGTCCTTGACATCCGTTGAATGTCGTCGCATAAGCAGGTTGCAGGGGAAACCAGTTTTGATTTACGGACCAGCTTGAACGCGCTGGATTGAAAGAGAAGGTGATGCGAGGCAGACAATGCATCTCTCCGGTATGAAGAATTTGGACCTCCATGAATTTGCGTAGTTAGGAGACAAATAAACGGAGCTTCAGAAGACATGGAAACAGTGGAGCACAATTGCAAAAGGAGTAGAGAAGCGAAGAACGCACACAAATAGAACTGCCGAGCGCATTAACGCTTGGAGTGCATGTGGAGTTCGGATGGGGCACGCACATGGAGCAAACGCAAATTTATTCCGCGAGATCAAACATTCCGTCCTTGTATATGTTAGATAATAATAATAATGCATGACTAGGAATCTTTAACTGAGCGCATACCAAGAATGAGAATGGGAATCAGTGTTCGAAGGATACCTCACTATCTCGGCGTGGGGTATGGCGAGTCGGCAAGTACACTGCTTTCTCGCGAATCTCGTTGATACTCGATATATGATACATATCGAGCATCGATGAGATTCACGAGAATGAGTATCAAACTCCGTTGTTCCGCGGGGTCACTGCAGGTTCAAATGATGAAGCGATGAGTGAGATTGGGCCATGATATCATCAATCAAACACACTCCTGCGTTCCATGCGCATGTAGGTTCTGCCGCCGACAGCGCTACATAGCAATAACAATTCTGCCAAATCGATCAGAATCACACTCATATGTATATGCAGAATATAAAAGCTGGCCGTCGTCCCATAGTGTTCCCCCATCTTCAGATATATCATTCGAGATCACCCTCAGAAGATTCCATATCACCTCGCACAGAAAATGCGTTTCTCCTTCCTCGCAGTTGCTGTTGCTTTGACAGCATCTATGTCTGTTAGCGCATGTTCGAACGCGGGCCAACCTTGCGACACAGATGTTGATGTGACACTAAATATGGCGTGAGTATGAGCAGGTCACTGTGCAACCAGGATTCAACCACATGACTCACCTGCACGCCTTAGGATCCTGATTTGACCTGCCAGTCCTCGAAGCGGGTTGAAAGAGCCAGCAGCTAGTAAAACTACTCGGGCCTCGGAGTCAGTGGTGCAGGTTATCACCGGCAAAACTGTAGGTTATGTGTAGACTTACGGAAAGCCCTGAGGGTTCAATATACTTATGTACATAGTACGGGAATTGAACTCCGCTCAAATCTGCTAGGGCCCATGCATGCATGTCTGCAACTTTCGGACAGAAATAACACTAGCCTCTCGACGCCTTCGCAATTCCGCCAATATAGATACGAGAGTCCTGATCACTATGAACCTGCTATGAAGGGACGACAAGGCCGACAACTTGAACTCGCGGCCATTGTGCAACGTTCAATTCAGTACGTAGTCTCCGGCACCACACGAGGGCTGAGGGCTGATTAAGATTCACTCTCCAACTTATCTCAATCGGCCGTTGCGTGCTTAAAATTAATGCCCTTGAATTCTACCTGCCAATTTCTTCTAACCAACGAAGGTGGCTTTAATTGGGAAGATAACGACGTTTGCCGATCTGAGAGCCGCCTCGTGAGACGTTATGAGATGCGGAAGTGACCAGGTGCAAGCAGGATACATCTATGGCTACCATGATGTGGATGATATCACCAACCTACTTCCAAGTTAATGGTATCCATTGTGATTTCCGTATGATGGGATCGTATTCATCTGAGAGGTGGAGGTAAATGGGGTTCAGAGTGTCTACGGAAACATGAGGCAAGTCAACAAGGTGAGGCAGCACAATACATGCATCTGCAGCTTAAGTTTCGACACCCACAATCTTTCAAAAGTCTACCTTGGCCGTGCTCCACATCATCAGCATCGAGTAAGATGTCGACCCCACCGCAGTCCTTTGAGTTCCCGAAAATTATGAGAGCGGCGTAAGCGCAGGCGCAGTTTTTCCCGATAGACGACATATGGTGACAGGCTCGTATTACAAGACGCTTCTGTTGTGGGACTTGAAGACAGGTCTTGTGTTGAAGAAGATGGAGGGGCTTCGCAGTGAGGTGCGGTCGTTGGCAGTGTGGCGATGGTGAGGATATTCCGAGGCTGTACCACGAGATTTGGTTGCATCTTATGCACAGAGATCTTGGGAGTCTATTGGATGAAGAAGCGGTATTGCAGTAAGCTATATACACGCGTTCGAAGGAGTAACGTGGTGATAAGCTGGAGTAGCTGCTAGATACGAAAAACAACGGTATTCATGCAGGATAGACAGTCAGATTCGAGCACTGGAAAGCAAGGACTGCTCGACTTGATGCGATAGGATATATTCTGGAAGCTGCGAAGACAAGAGTCGGACGCATGTATGCACTGCAGATGTGCATACTGTCGAGGACAACGGGTATGACAATAGGATGGGTGCATTACGGTGGAGGCGTGGGCACGAACAGCCTTAGAATCTTGTCCTGGGCGTCTATTGAAATCAGGCAAGCTATAAAACGCACCATACTACGCCCTCTGCAGCTTAGAGAAAGACATAATCCCTCCAAAGTTTAGCCTCGTCCGTATTCCATACCATTAACATCCAGTAAAATGTCGGAGCTCATTACAATCACCACTCCCCTGCGATGGTTCAAAGGCCATGAAGAAAGTATAACTGCAGTCGCAGTTTTCCCTGATAAACGTCGGATGGTTACGGGCTCGTACGACACAACGCTTCGTCTGTGGGACTTGAAGACGGGTGTTGCGTTGAAGAAGATGGAGGGGCATTACAATTGCCAGGTGTGGAGTTTGGCGGTATCACGAGATGGGCAATTGATAGCAAGCGGTGATCAAGGCGGAGAGGTCATCGTCTGGCACGGAGAAACTGGCGAATTACCCGCCAAAATCAAAGCACACTCTAATTTGATCTCCTCGCTGGATTTTTCTCCCGATGGAACAGTGCTGGCCACTGGTTCATTTGACAGAATGACGAAACTGTGGAATACCAAAACCTGGCAGCTGCAAGGAGATCTAATCGAGTGTGGTGATTATGTCAACTGGGTACGGTATTCACCGTCTGGAGAACTGCTTGCCATCGCAACGAACCATTATATTCAAATTTACAACTCAGGCATCAGGAAACGCGTCGTATCCTTCAACGGTCACAAATCATACAACTTGTCACTCGCATGGACGCCCGATGGCACGCGCCTTCTCACAGGCGGCGATGGCAGGGATCCTACTATACGCGAATGGGATACAACAACCTGGAAGCAGATCGGTGATCCTTGGACGGGCCACACTGACGACATCCAAGCCATTGCCATTCATCCTGCTGGCACACTCGTTGCATCCACATCTCGTGACAGCCACACCCGTCTCTGGCAGCTCTCAGACCGACAAACCATTGCCGTCTTCAAGCACTCACTTGCCAATTTATGCGTCACTTTCTCCGTGGACGGCAATCACATCTTCAGTGGAGGTAACGATGAGATGATCTCAGAGTGGACAGTACCTCAGGGTATACATCCAAAGGCATGTTTCTGTCTCTGACTCATATACCACAAATCGAGCATGCTTCTTGCAGACTATTGCCACTACAACAGTCCGCGATGCATGCATAGATGGAGACTTATCTACTGACGAAGAACTACTCATGCAAGATATCAATACCGATCCGAACAACCATACTCCCTACGTCCATCGCTCAAAGGCGTGTTTCTGTTCTTGACTCATATATACCACAATTAGAGCATGTTTTGTGCAGATCCTAGCCATCACGACCTCCCGTATTGCATGTGTAAATGGAGACTTAACTACCGCCGAAGAACTACTCACTCAAGATATCAATACCAGTCCGAACAACCATACTTCCTACGCACATCGGACATTCGTCATGGCGCGAAAATACGACTGGGACCGCGCCTTTCTAGACGCAATCAAGGTGAGAATCATCGCCGCCTTATACAGGGCTAACTTGACGGTGACATAGTCCATCAGGATTCAGCCCTCTTTGACGGGCTATATCTCCAAGGGTATTGCCCTCTGTGGAAAAGGCCGCGTCCTGGATGCGAGGGCAGCATTTGATGTTGCATCCATGTACACGGACCAGGATTCAGAAATCACTCATTTTCTGCTATTGATCAAGGTATGTTACATTTGCCTCGCATGCTCTTCCCTTCATCGCGTATTTCAGGCCATCGCGCTCTTCAATGCCGATCAACATGACGAAGCAAACCTGCTCCTCAAAGAGCTCGCTGCCGGTTGTTCGAATGCCGACACTCTCGCATGTGGCATCGTGCAAGTAAGTGTCATCTATGCTTGGTCATCAACACTCATCTTTACAACTCGCACATTAGGCATATCTACACGTTCAACTCGGAATCAAAGCCTCGGATGGCGCACGTTACGACGAAGCCGCCGACCATTTCACTGCCGCCATCGACTCCAGCGATTTATTACCCAAATCGGACATTCATGAAATTTATGAGGATTTGGTGGTGGTATGTTAATTCAGATTCGAAACACTTTTCATAACCAAGTCCCTTGTCCAGCTCTTCGGCTGGGATCTCAAATCATTGTGGTTCACTGCACACCAGAAGTGTTGTCATGCCCTCCTTCGGGCGGGTAAACTCCAAGATGCCGCGAAAAGATACCAACACATAATAGTTTCAAGTGACAAAATTACAAATGCCGATTGCCTTGACTGGTCCAACGGCGAGTCCAGAGTCCGTAATGTTGCGCAGGCTACAATTCTCACCCGAATTCCTCTCAGATTTCAAGAAAGAATGCAGCGCGCTCTGCGCTGTCCACGGAGATGCCGCTTTCGCTGCAAACGATTACGACAAGGCTATTGACCTATACTCAACGGCGGTCGACCTGGATTCTACATCCGATGTCATTGCAAATCGCAGCCAGGCAAAGTTGAGTAAAATGCTATGGGAGGACGCGCTCCTCGACGCGCAAAAGGTGCGATGGCATCTACGTTTTTAGCAGACCATGTTGACTTCCGCTATGCATAGGTCACCGAACTCAATCCTTTGTCTCATGTTGGATACCAGTTGACACATGCGGCTCTGCGTGGCGCGCAACGTTACGACGAAGCTATCGAGGCCTTCACAATCATGCTGTCCAAGCTAGATGATGCTCCCGAACCGCACATACGAGGTAAGCCATGGAACACTCTTGCATAATTTAAAAATGCCTATCTCGTTCTGCAGATCTGCGTCAGCTGTATGTCTCTCCATCCGAAGTAGAAGATGCTATTCAAACAGCTGTTTGGATTGAACTCGAATATGCTCCGCTACGTCTGCTCAACACCTCTACGGGTCTTTTGTGCGACCGAGCGGCACAGCTCAACTCCTTCAAAACAAGTTCAGACTACAATGAGCTCGTCTCATTCCCAACGGAGGATTTGAATCTTCGAACCGAGCGCATCAAAGATGTAGTGGCGACGTACTTCCGCTGCGTCCTGCTATCACACAGGTGGGAAGAGACGGAGGCGCTGCTGCACGACATCCAGGATAAAGATGTGCGCGAGTTGAAGGAAGTTGGCGGGATCGCGAAAGTGCAATCGTTCTGCAAAGTCGCTCGTGATGCTGGGTATCGCTGGGCGTGGATGGACACATGCTGCATCGACAAAAGAAGCAACACCGAGCTTCAAGAATCGGTCAACTCCATGTTCGTCTGGTACCGCCATTCCGCGCTCACCATCGTCTACCTATCCGATGTCCCTCCTTCATCCCAGTCCGGCGCGCTGGCCAGGAGTGTTTGGAACAAGCGAGGATGGACCTTTCAAGAATTCGTCGCTCCGAAAGTTGTAATCTTCTATCAGAAGGATTGGTCGTTATATCTCGACGATCGTTCGTCCAATCACAAAGAGTCCTCTGAAATCATGAAGGAGTTAGAGGGCGCGACGGGCGTAGATGCACGGGCCCTGATCTCTTTTCGTCCAGGGATGAGAGACGCTCGAGAGAAACTGCAATGGGCATCGAAACGTGTTACCACCATGCAGGAAGACATCGCGTACTCATTGTTTGGTATCTTTGGTGTCCACCTGCCTGTAATCTATGGCGAGAAGAAGCAAAATGCGCTCGGTCGGCTCCTGCAGGAGATCGTGGCTAGATCAGGCGACATCACCGCCCTGGACTGGGTCGGACAATCGTCCGAGTTCAATAGTTGCCTTCCAGCCGACATCATCTCATATGCAACCCCGCCATCATTGTCTGAAGATAATATTCAGACAGCGATCTATGCGTTGCAAAACAACGTGCCTGTAGATTCAGCTTCGAAGTTATATAACCTGCTTGAGAACATGAATGCTCCCCTCTTCGCAAACTGCAGACTCCGTCTGCCTTGCATCGCATTCCGTGTCACGGAAGTCAAACGAAGGCAGGGTCTCGCTGCTCATTCCACATATGGAGTAAAAGCAGATGGGCTTCGGGACTTGCTGATCACCACGGACGAGACCCTAATTCAATTCTCGCGCGCAAGGCCCACTCAGCAGACGTTCTTTCTCATCCGTCCATGGGACCGTCGTCTCCTTGGGCTGCCTGATTTTTCAGAGCAGCTCACCTTTTCAGACAAAGGGGAGAGCGTAGGGGATTGGTCCGAGTCCGAGTCTGGTTTAGACGACACTGACGAGCCGTCCAGCGACTCGCCTGGAGAAGAGGAATTGTCAGTTGACCCGGAAGCTCACTCACGATCATTGCGTTTGATGGTTCACCTTGGGCAGGCTTTCAGCGCACTTTTGGTAGCACAGCAACGCGTTGGAGAATACAAGAGGGTCGCGTCGGACCGTAATATCATTGCGCAGGTGAAAGACCCGGCTTCGATTGACATCATGAACATCAGGACCCTAGACATATTGTAATTGTATAGTTTTTTTCACACGGAAATATTGACCTTGACATTCTGTATCATCCATATCAATGCTGCGATATATGCAACTTCTACAAAAAGATCATTTGTGCGTGTTTGAAAAGTCAACACCCATGTGCACCACTCCCCACGGTTGATGATAACAGTCACAAAGAGGCCCGACTCAAAAAGACGATAAGACAGGCCATTCAGGATATTCGATGTCACTCTGACAAACTTGGATGGCGATCGATTCAGATCAGGCGTGGTCAACGCCAGATGTTATTGAAGGGTTGAAGAAGAAGCTTGAAGTACTATCGATGTGAAGAAGGGGCGGGACGAACGTACCGTCGGGGCCCGGACATACCAACCATCATGTGGCCTTCTCTCTCATGCTAGATCAGTCATAAGATAAACGTCAACGCGCACTGGCATTATCATCCACCTACGAAACCCACCCACCATCGCTTGTAACCCCAAAACCACAGAAATCCATGTCCTCACTCAAAGTAAGGGAAGGCGAAGCCGCTTTTAACGTTCCTGGTGCAGGCAAGCCTTGCAAGACTTGGTACAAGGTGTACGGTACTCTTCCCCACCCACATAACACACCACTTGTAGTACTTCACGGCGGTCCCGGTTCAACCCACGAATACCTCGACATCCTCTCCGAGCTCACACGTCTCTTCGACGTACCCGTCATACTTTATGATCAACTCGGCAATGGACGCTCCACACATCTCCCAGAGAAGAACGGAGACGTGGACTTCTGGACTGTCCAGCTCTTCGTTGACGAGATGCACAACCTCCTGAACCACTTAAACATCCATGACAACTATAACGTACTTGGGCAGAGCTGGGGAGGGATGCTGGCATCAGAGTTTGCAGCGCGCCAACCGAAAGGCCTCGGGAAACTGGTGATTGCTGATTCGCCAGCGAGTATGGCGCTGTGGGTTAAGGCCGCAAATGAGTTGAGGAAGGAGTTGCCGCAGGAAGTTCAGGATGCGTTGAATAAGCACGAGGCGGCGGATACAACAACGGATCCAGAGTATATTGCCGCAACGAACGAATTTTACAAGCGGCATCTGTGTAGGCTCGACCCAATGCCTCAGTCCCTTGTGGACGGGCTTGCATGGATGGAAAAGGATCCGACTGTGTACTCGACCATGTAGGTGTTTCGTCCATCTGTGTCACGCATCTTCAACCTTCGGAGAACAGGAATGGACCGAATGAATTTTACATCACTGGCTCTCTAAGGACGTGGAACGTGATTGACCGCTTGCACAATATTCAGGCGACGACATTGCTCATCAATGGGAGGTACGATGAAGCACAAGATATGGTTGTAGAGCCCTTCTTTCAGCATATTCCGAAGGTCCGATGGATACAATTTGCGGACTCAGCGCATGTCCCGCAGTTAGAAGAGACGGAAAGGTTTATGCAGGTGGTGTGGGCCTTCTTGCGTGGTTGAAGCGGCTGGAAGTATAGAAGCAGCGTGAAAGAAATGATGATGGGATGCACAACGTATGGTACAGGTCGATCATGAGTGCAAGCTGTAATATTATTGCAAGGCCTCCAAACTGCAAATCGATTGCATTAGTTCAGCGTTTGATCTGTTGAGGGCTCACCTTGCCCGCGGATCTTGACTCAACAAACATATTTTTCTCATGACACGTGTATATATCTAGAAGCTGGTGCAGAGCCTGGACAGAGTCCGCCGAGTCCAGACCATATGTAAACGAGTCTGTGAGTCATGTACTCATCACGTGATACATGTACACGGAACTACTTCCGCACTCCATTTACTCCCTCGTACAAAGACCGCTTCGGTGATCCGAGTAGATTGTAACACACGACAGGCCTTCACACACACGAAATGTATCAGCGTGAGTGGAGAACTGTGATACGAGTATATTAGTTACTTGCAATTGTTGGTGTATGTACGAGTGGGAAACTACCAGTAGTCTAGCATGCTTCAACACTGGAGGATCGATGCATAATCACGCAACACTCCGAGTCAATTTCTTAAAAAACGACCATGTGGGAAGGACGGTATAATCCTCCAGCAACCCCCAACCGCTTCAACGTCTTATTCACCGCGTCAGGTGACGCATGCACCATATCCGACAATGTCAAGTGAAAAGATGCACATTAGAATCTAGATCACCGTCTTCAACTTCAACCAGTGGGGTACAACCCTGCAAGATGAATTGGTCTTCGCGTCAACTCGCGTCCTTTTGGCCTCACCGTACCCATTGGGAGGACAGGCAGATTCCACAAAACGAAAACATTGAATGGATAAACATGGGAAGGAAGTAGTAACGACCAGAGTTGGAGATACGTGAGCAGTGGCAATACGACGTCAGCAACGAGACTTGCATGTCCAGAGGGAAAGGGTTTGGCCTAAGCCTCCTTCGGTACAAGTGGCGGCGGAGGGACCGCGTAGTCCAAGTGACCGACAATGGGAAGGTTGCGACCATGCCGGACTCGGTGTTTTACCCAGCATTGAAATACTTCATCACTATCGAAGTAATATTCCGGCGTGTCCATCGCGCTCCCGCTGAACCGGAGGCGAAGGCTCAGCTTGGACGACCATTTACACGTGAACATGAAGAGGGTGACAGTGGTGGGGACGTACGCAGCCCAGAGGTCATCGGTAGAGGGGATGTAGACTTTGATGACCATCATACCATTCTCGGGTGTCCAGCGCGACTCTTTTGGGCTCCTGGAAAATGGCTGGATCTCGAGAAGGTCTCTGCGCTCTGTCAGTGTTCCTGAGATGATCTGATAGGAAGCTGCTCGGGAGCGATGGTGTTTACCATGGAAGTGGACGACAGCAGAGGGTACCAGGCATGGGCAAACAGGTGTTGATTTCACAAGGATCGTGTCCAACTGTGAAGTGGTTCCTGGTGCGGAGTTATGGTTTTTGTTCTCCTTGCTTGCACAAGTATGGTCGGAGTGCTGGAGTCGACTGCTATCTTCGATGAACTCTAGAAGAATACTCGAAGCCTGGTTCTCAGTCTCGTCTTCGCTCTCCTTTCTGTATTTCGGAGAATCTTCATGAGCCACCTGGAAGGAAGGTAGCCGACAAACAGGAGCAGAGAGCGCGTCGGTGTACTTGGCAATATCGACGACATGAACACTGTAACGGCGAGCACCCCGAGGAGAAAGCGATGATCGAGAAGGCGAGGCGCGTGGCCAATATCCATTGGGCAATTCCAAAAAATCTCCCTCGCGGACAGAAGCACCAACAGACGTGATCTTGAAGTTGTAAGTTTTGTTAACGAGTGTGATACTGTCGTCGGAAAGATCCTCGAATGCGATCCTCGGAATGGTCGGTATTGAGAGAATATAGGGATAATGTTCAGGGTCCAAAAAATCAGACCCGTAAAATGGCACCATTTCGGGGGTATGCTGGAACTCTCCAATCCCACTTTGAAAGGCGGGAATCGACTGGCTATGTTCCATTGAAGGCGTAGACTGAGTGACACCAGTGAGCCACAATTTCAGCAGCCCAAAAAAGTTGGTATACCACATCAAGATACTGCAGGCTATCCTCCATCGACATTGTGTGGGTTGTGTCGCTGCAAATATTCGAAAACTCCACCCTGGAATGACATGCGATGGGGGACACTTCGACTGAGGAATGAAGTTGATGGGGAGTATGGCTTTCGAAATAACAAGGGTCCAAAGCAGCATTGGTAGAAGACACGAGATATGGTGCGGAGATGTCCGTTGCGAGCCGTCCAGCAGTAAGTCTGGCTGGAGCATCAGAATTATCGACAGCAGGGAGGATATCACGAAAACCAGACCTCGACATTCGGGCTTTATTCTTTGAACGGTAAAGAAATCCAATGGCAGAGAACGCAACTGCAGAGAAACAGAAGGAGCCACCTTTGAAGTAAACATCTTGCGGGATCCCAGAACCCGGCAGCCCATCTGGGAGGTAGAATGATGCAAAAGTAGATGAAGGAGCGACTGAGGTGAGATGAGCAGAACGTATGTTGCGAACATTCCTGATGGCAGGAGCCATGAGAAGAGAGAAGAAGAAAGGTCACAAATCGTTTGAGAACTGGGAGGGCTCAAGGACAGCGGCTGACATCAAAGCAATCGCACGAGGCTGACAGCTACTTACTGGACATCATTTGTTGCAGAAACCGAGAGTACAGTGTGCGCGAGGCATGACTCGGAAGGCTTCATGTATACGTCATTGAAGGTGATGGTTGTTTCGAAACGCTAGCGGTTGTCGGACATTGCTCCAAGATGCGGATAAAACAAATCTGCAACACTGCACTGATCCATAGAACATTACAGTGTAAGTACCAGTTCAGCGGTATCGTTCTTGACATGAATGTGGCTGACAGTACTAGTCAGTGTTCATGAAACTGGGTTTTAACTTTTGGAGAATCGCGTGCACGTGACAAGCTACGAGTAGAATTCGGATCTGAGTCAAGCTCTTCATCAGTGCCAGGCTCCAGCATTAAGCAATTAAGCAATGGCAGCATCAACGGCGCCGACGTCTCAAACGCATCCAGCATCGCTACCGCCATCAGTGTTTACTCTTCCCCAAACAGCGCAACTCGAGGCCTTGTACACTATTATCCGCGACAGAACCACAAGTCGAGGAGATTTCTTGTTTTACTCTGACCGGATCATTCGTCTACTTGTTGAAGAAAGTTTAAATCATCTGCCTGTGGTCCCAAAGATAGTGCAGACTCCCACAGTATGTCAATTCGTTCTGGATCGCATGGGTTGAGGAAGAAGCTGCATCATCTTCCCCCCTATATTGACATGTTTCTGCTGAAGGGCGCCACATACCAAGGTGTTGGCTTCGAGGGAAAGATTTGTGGAGTATCGATCCTGCGTGCTGGCGAGGTCTGTTGGTCGTCATCATACGAATAGCACATGACCTGACGGTTAGTAACACTGAACGTAACAGGCCATGGAAGCTGGTCTTCGAGAAGTATGCCGTAGCGTGCGCATTGGGAAGATTCTGATTCAACGAGTATGATCATGTATCTGCATCGCCTGGTCATAAAATAACTGCTTTGCAACCAGGATGAGGAGACTACTCTTCCGAAGCTCTTTTATTCTAAGGTAGACAATGTGCGCTGCGACGAGCATTGCGTTGACTGCCTTGGAACTGCAGCTTCCTGAAGACATCGCATCCCGATACGTACTTCTCCTTGATCCGATGCTAGGTATGCCATATTCTCTTGCGACCCACATATTTTTGATCAACGCTTCAAAGCCACTGGAGGCTCCGCTATGAAGGCAGTTGAGGTTTTGCAGGAACAAGGCGTTCCAGAAGAGCGAATCATATTCATTAACTTGGTTTGTTTTACTGCGAGTTCCATCCGAAAGCAAACATTTTATCACCGTCTAGATTGCGGCACCAGAAGGTTTGAAGAGATTCTGTGGTAGATTCCCATCTTTGCGCGTGGTGAGTAGACATTTGCCAGTCAAATTTGATCAACTTAGTATGTCGACCAGATCACCGGATGGATTGATCAGGGCCTCAACGAAAAATCCTACATTATTCCAGGTCTGGGTGACTTTGGAGAGCGAAGGTGTGTTCGCTGTGCATGTCAGTCTCATCATCACCTACCATGGATATAGATATTGTGAATGAAGAATCGTCACGAGTAACGTCAATCATGGTACTTTCAGACGACTTTCATGAAACATTGAAGTCCTTGATCCTTCATGTTTTTCGTCAGTTGGCTGCGTCCTTCCTGGCTGAGTATCTTGTTTAGTGTGCTGAATGGTTGAGGTTGTAGAACAGTGATCTTGTTACTAGGCCAGTAATCTACGTATAACAAGTCGTTGATAAATGTACGTTCGCTGACCAAAATCTACGCTAGTCACATATCGTATAAGAGGAGTGCCTGCATACCTCAGTTGGACAGACAAAAGATTACCCAAAGAGTGATGGGATTGACTTGCTCGATGCAGAGGCAACTGCCACTTCTTCCTCGTTCTCTTTACCAGCCTTCTTTCTATGTCTCGCACTGTCCGGTACCATCAGTTTGATCGCATGTGTTTTCGGTGCAGGTCGCCAGAACAATGGCGGGATTTGGCGAGGAGTGTCGATTGAAGAAAGATGCCTTCCGTATACAAGTGGTGTCGTTACGTTGGAAGTCATGGGAGACCCGAAGAGTCCAAGTGTGCGAGCAGGTGTTTGGGGTGTAGGTATTGCCCGCGTGTGATTGAAGAGAGCGGGTGCGTTCTGAATGGATAGAGGAGTATGTTGAATGCCGCGACGAAACAGCGATGTGGTTTGAGGCGAAGATTGCGGAAATGCTGACCACGGTATAGACACTCCGTAAGGGGCTACGGGGCTGGGCGTGGTGGGATTAGGTCTCAGACATGTAGATTTATTCATGTGAGTGCTGCGTGGCGGGGTGCGGGGTAAAGCCGCGACATCCTCTTCTTTTCTCCCACTTTCTACCGGATCTGCCTGAGCGTCGTTCTCGGACTTCTATATCGGTATCAGTGATATCGCCTGTAACCACTGAAGGCAATACTGACCTGGCTACCGATAGCGTGGTCGACCCACTCCTCTATCATTACGACTATACCTTGTAACTCCTTCAATGAGTCAGCAAGACTGGCGATGCCCCTCGAGACGATATGACCGTCGATACCAAGAGAAATAAGGAAGACGCCCGCCCGTGTAAGCAGCGCAGTGATCGCTTTGAGGGCATGACTATATGCAGTGACTAGTTTGTTGTTATCCAATAAAGAGGGTGGTTTCATATTAGCTATGGGTTGTATAGTTCGTGTGTAATCGTAAATGTGGTTTGAGCCCAATCGCAGAATAGGCCAGAGCTTATTTACTTATATTGACGCGACAGATCACGTGCGTTGATTTGCTCCCCTGCGACGGACTTAAAGCTTAACTTAATTTGATCGATAGAATTCGATCCTTATGCATATTTGTGATTTTATCCAGAAACTTTCCATCGTCCGCACAATAGGCAAATAGGTAGAAACATGCATAATTTTTCTCAAGATATGTGTCACATCTGTTTACAGAACTTTTCCGGCTGTGTCTCAGGTGCTACTACGGATAAGATAGACCTCATTCATACACCAGTTCATCACGTGATTTGAGGATAGAATACATGATTTTGGCTCGTAACTCTTTTTAAACTTAGAATTAGCTAAATCTGTTCCAAGATCTTGTGGGGATGTACTACAATATAAAAATGGTCTACTCAGAATCCTTATTTTCGGCGAATTGAAGGAGGAGTAGGCATTTTTGTAGCAGATTCACCATTGTGACCCATTTGTGACTGATGTGACCGTATCAGTGACTCGGACTTAGACGCGAGGGAGATAAACAATTGAAGCGGCCGTTTGATTTCAACGATTTCGATGATGTTCGACACAACGTTCAACAGCCGTTCCAGCAAAGTTTGCTATGTTTGAAGGCCTCTTTCGTGGCATAGTGAGGTAGATAGACTGTAGTTCAATTTTTTTGCTTCTCATTTCGAGTTAGCGTGTCTGTCACTAATCTAGCGCATCTGTCACGTTGGTGGTGCTCACTTGGGACATTTTGACAATATAATGCCTACTCGTCCTTCAGTTTCTTACATTAGATCATAAAAATTACATGTCCAGCTTGCTACAGACTGTCCACACATAATCTTGGAATAGATTTCGCTCACACTTTGTGTACGACGAGTTATATGCAAATTCATTGAAATGTCACGCTAGGTCACGTGATGAACTGGTGTATGAACGAGGTCTATCTTATATGACACTGACCAACGAGCGAACTTCAAATAATGTGCATGTAAGTAATATTTGTACAAACGTAACAGGCCCGATCGAGGGTTTCAGTCACGGACCAAACATTCACAGAACCTCGTACCAGCTCTACAGCCCCGCGCGCGCTCCTCCCATCATAGTGAAGCACTGCACCGCGAACTACCTACGCTTTCGCACGACGAGGTCAATTAAGTACCATAGCAACCACATAACAAATTTACCTAAAAATGTTATCAGTATTGATGTGTTACAAGTTACAACTGTACAAAATCGTACCCTTCACTATCTGGAGAATCATAGAAAGAAACCCTTGGGAAAGTAGCATGGCAATCACAATGTCCGGAAGCCACGCAAGGTATGAATGCTGCTCCCTAAAATCTCCTGTATCACCATTTGATATTAGTTTATCAACGTTCCAGAACAGTTATTTAACCATAACACACCGATGGTCACAATATGTTTGACACCTGATTTGAGAGAACTCGTCACACTTTGAAGGCGTTTCTTGCTCACTCCGAGCTCGCCGACGACCTGCAAAGAATATTCCTCGACGCGATCAAAAACGGCGTTCGTCATGGCCATGCGCTTCTCATGACCAGGAGCTTCACTGGGTGGCGGAAACAGTTTTTTGAGCCCTTCAAATACAACGCTGAAAGAGTTTCCAAGGTATTCCGATATGGTGCAGAAAGGAATACCGCATTGTTCTGAGACTTTTTTGATGAATTGGTACATTGCAGTATAGTGCTGGGATAGGCGACCGACTGTGCAATTGGGCACCGAACATATATATATAGGCGTAAGGAACTCCTGCGGGATTCAATTCACCAAGTCACTTATGTAACAGGTTGATAATCGAAGCCTTCATGGCATGAGGCAACATGCAGTAACACACACCTAATCCTTGAGGCATTGAGGGTGCGTGTACATCAAGCACTGCAGTACGTATACTGCATGTAAATGTGCAAATGCAGGGCTGAAAAGAAATGGACCCACACGATTCACATACCCAGGCTTCCAAATATTGGGATTCTACCCTAAAGCGAGATATCAGTTGTAGGGTCAGAAGGACTGATCGCGAAGGCATCCACAGGCTTGTATCACCAGTTTGCCTCACAAACGGACTGGTCACGAGTCTAGGCGAGAATTGGGATGTGTGTCCGATTTTGAACAACCCGCGTGATCGATAAAGCTTTGAAGCCCCGCACTGAATGGAAGCATGATGGATGGAAGCATGGTATAGAACATATCCCGGGCTTACTGGAACCGCTATGAATCAGCAGCAACACTGCAGTCTGCTGTTCAGTGCATCGTTCAGTCGGACAACCATAAATTCAGGATCGGTGCTAAATATACATAGGAAGGGAATCATAGAATCAAATGGTACACTCAATATTGCAGCAATAAAATCATCGTTACGTGGAGCTGGAGTGATTGATGTTAGCAACTGCGAGGACAGATAGTAAAGATTGAAAACTCACGCGTCTCAGCAACTCGACCAGCGCATCCCATGTGCCATGTGCCATGTGGCTCAAACCAAGCTCAACGCCTCCTCTCGGAATCACCATTGCAGTGTCAAGAGAATAAAACAGTTGTCGGGAAGCGAAAGGTACCCAGAAAAGGAGCTCATGTTTGGGTCCCATGATCCATCCATCAGGCTGCAGCAAGAAAGGGGTCGAATTAGAATGCTGATTAGAGGCGGGTTCGAGCAAGTCAGCGGGATTGGGCAGGGCGTGTTTCAGGCCGGGCGAGAAGGAAATGGGGCATGGTTACAAGTGTTGGTTGGCGTGATACGACATTCTTGAGGATGAAGCGCGGTACTTCGATGCAATGGATGTGCAGAGGGATTCGGCTCTGTAGACTTGGGGGATGGCGGCACTTTCAAGCGGCACAGTGTTACTATCTGATGAACCAGACGCGATGCGAGTACCATCTGGTGAGAACGAGCCTGACAGGACTGAAGGAGAGGTGGGAGACATGTACGTGGTGCTGCTTAGATGTTATGCAAACAGATTATAGCGTAAGTCTGGCCAGTCGAGACTACAACTTGAATACACGCACCTCTGCAGCTGATCGTAAGGACTACCTTCGAGACATGTTGTGTGTCCTTGTATGTGACTCGGCGCGTGTCAATAATCTTCTTGTGACCCCTCGCAGGAATTTTGCCAATAAAGTTATACCGGAACCCGGGCCCTTCAAGATGTTCCATTTTGTGACTGTAATGCTGCGTGCCACTAGTGCATCTGATAGTCTCAATGCACTGGCAAGGGGTCGGGATATTGAGTGGCGTCATCTTCACGCTTAAGGGCATCAAGATCATCAAGGATTTCGATGCAGATACGTTTCCCTCTGTTAGACTTTGATGACAGGGTGGACATTATTGCTGAGTGGTAACGGAAAATGACCCTGGACAGCAACTTTAGTTGGCATATAGTGGACTGGCCATGTTGTTTTTCCGCAGATGTATGACTTCGATTGTATGAGAGTGCCATACTCTATCCCAAGGGCTGTTGGGGTGATGTTTTGTGCCGTTCCTGCAGGCTGCCGTTAACGTTCAGCGCTCAGCTCTCCTGGGTAAACATTTTTTTAGCTTATGACTTTTTTGGCCAATTTTCAATTATGGTTACGAAAGACTTCCCCTTCTACTTGTATCATGATTTGAACGAATAGTAAGATTAAATGAATCAAACCGAGGGGGGACAAACCCATGAACATATAAGCCTCGGATACCATGGCTTGAAGTTTTGCAAAGCAAATAGTCATTGATAAAGCCCTTACCAACTCGAGCTCAGAAACTCAAACTTTCTTCTAGGCAGTGTAGTATATTACAGAATTTCACATGCAGACACTCACTTCTATGTACTAACCTCAGCAACGAACATCTGTCGTGTACAGCAAGACAAATGTCAAGTAACATAGAAATGATAAGACACACTTACTGCGCAATCCTGTGTGAAAAATAAAAATAAAACTGACAACCGCAAGATGTCTATAATTCACCCAACAGTGCGAAGCAATTGTTGTGAGAAAGATCTCGAGTCTCCGGTAAGGTAACCAGTAGGACATGAAGACTGACTTACACAGCAGTTTGCGCCTGTTTCGGGTACACAGACACCCAGTCAAGACAACACAGAGTTACACAAGCCTTGCAGCACATCAGAACTGACTTACAATAAATCTGGATGGAAATAACGGATATTCGAAAATTTGTGCTCACTATAAATTCTGGGCACATTGACACATGTCATGCAGATAAGACATGATTCTCACAGCACATCAGAAATCAGTAAGAGTATGACCGTCTATATAATTGCTGTGTTTTCGACCTGTATAAGAGCTGAAAAAGGCTATGAACACACACTTTGAAGATATTATTTGCTTACCAGAAAATTTCGGGCGTGCCAACGAGCAACAAAATTCGCAAGGCAAAGGCAGTGTAAGCCAATATTGGGACTCCAATATTTTGTGAGACCTGCAGTTCAAAGAAGAATGACAAGCTGCAGAAACATACAAGAATCAGTGTACTCATTTACTAATAAACTAAAGGTGAGCTATCATGATGTATGTAGAAGGGAGGGCCGAGCTGCTTGGGTTTCGAACTCCGCTAGGACCACAACTATACTTGACCGCCGGTAATATTAATGATAGGCTTTTGACCAAGTCCGCTTTGCACCTTCCCCTGCTCTTTGAAGATGAGCGAATCATCTGTTCTGAATGCTATTCTTCAGCGCTCAGCGCTCGAATCTATTGTAATCCTCAATTATCTTCCTTCACGTTGGAAATTTGGGAGACTAATAAGCCGAAATACCATATCATGGTCTTGATTTGACGCAGTCGACCTGTTTTCGCACCTTCAGGACCCTGACGTCTGACACTAAATAGGTCAGCATAGAGCGAAAAAGCCGATGCTCAGCAGACCTCAAGCGCTCACAGAGTGAGGTAAGGGCTTGAAACCCTTATTGTCATTGTAGATGAGTCAGGTGAAGGATAACACTAACTTAATTCTGCCACAGACCGCTACCGTCTCAAGATTGTTCATTCCTGTCATCGCTTGTGACGTAAAGCACTGTCGATAGCTCCTCAAATGCAATTTATTCAAATCATGGGTTTTTCATTCCGTATCACGACGGGTGTTCGGCTACATTGGTTCTGTCAATGGTGTTTAGTCTGGGAAATCATGCTGTTCTCTGGAACTCCTCTAGGACCTCTGCAACGATAACATTTTCACACTGTGGGTACAAAGTCAAGGAATGGGGCCTGGTTGCACTCCGTACGTGAGACTAGGATACTTAAGCTTCATCAAACCCCACAATAAATGCTCTCCCCCATCCGCACAATCGACCTTGGTGTTCCTCGCGGGCGTCGTCTGACCTTGAGACCCTCGGATACTTTGAAGTGGTAAAGTGTCTCCGACTTCGGTTCCCGCGTTATCACTCATCCAGTCGGCAAGATTATCGACTATCACGAACGTTTTAAACTTCGAATATCGAAGTGGGATAACGCTTCACGCGTTTTTTCATGGTTTCTATTCCAGTCGGTGATGGTCCATCGCCGTCTTCCATATCTACTAGGCGAACGGTTAAACGAGCTATCGCATATCTTTCCGCATTTCCTTCATCAGATACACGGTTCGGCTGATGTTCCAACGGATGTCGATAGCGCCCTTGTATGCATTTTAGGCACAAGCGATGTTCGTCTTAGGGGCATGCCCCGCCTCAAATTACAAAACTGGCCTAGCAAGGCACTGGTGAAACATGTGAGCACGTGAGTTTACCATCGATCTTGTCGGATTGATGCCAAATTGATGAACACCCAGTAGCCTCATACAAGTGTCCGCATACGGCGGGATGCCTGCAAGGTTTACCTTTCATTTTTCCGAAGCATTAAAGGAGCGTTCCATTCTTCCATTTCTATGTTCCGCTTCCGAAAGTTCCCGAAGGCATGGAAGCAGTTCGCATGGGTAATATTGGTTCAAACGAGCTTGAGCAAACACAATGGGAATACATTCAGTATGTAATACGCATTCTTGTAGATCATAGAGCTCTAATGAGACACGTGCTGATTGACTTGTCATGTCCCCGTACTGATGATCGTATCAATCAGCGATTCTGTTCAGCTACGAAGGCTTTCTTACCCTCTCCGTAAACAATTATAGATGTTGCGTAAGGACGATCTACTTTGATCTGTGGCCCACGAGACTCCACGATGATCATACATCATGCGTGCAGTCTGGCATGTATGACTTCGTAATTGGTAAGATTGTCACAAGCCTGGGGGCTACTTGAAACTTACCATTTCCGCAGCACAGGTGACTTGTCTTATCTAGGATGCGCTCACTTTTTGAGATGGCAGTTGATGGTTGGTTGATTGAGAGGATGGCTTAATAGCGCAACTCATTTCCCACTCTTTCCAGCTCATCAAAATCTTCTTTTGAGACCTAACAAGCTCGAACAGTTCTTGTGCGAACAAATATATTATATTTGTGTCTGATTGTGTGAGATCTGGATGTTGTTACATAGCACCTTGTGAAAATTTTCACTTGCCTAATACCTATCCCAAACTTAAGTGCGGATACTAAGTGCTCTAACCAAAATTGAATAAGTACTTGGGGATCTTATATCCGGGGTTCATCTGCAGTTACATCCAGTTCCTTCCTCCCACATCGAATTATGTCCGCCGTCCCAGAACTCCCTGTTCGTCGTCGTCGCCACTCTGGATCGACTACAGTACCAGCGCCAGTCCGTGCTAGTCTACTCAACGCACGACGAGAAGATGAAACTATGATTGTGCCCCCACCACGACCAAAATCTACTCCCGTTGATGAACGGCCTCAGCGACGACGCGGGTCCGGTTCAGCCGAGTCTGATTCGGAAGGCTCCGATAAGGAGACATCCACCATGCAGGTTGATAACGATTTGCCTAGTCAACAAACTCAACAATCTTCATCACACTCTCAAGAATCTCAAAAACGTGAATCTATCACGCTCAATTTGGAAAATTCTAGCCCAGAGCGTCCCACACGTCCTCTACCTGCTAAATCCCGGAAAATGGCTGGAAATTCATCCAATCCTATGCCACAACCTGCAAACCCATCCATGCTACCAATTCAGGCGCACGTACCCCGTGGCGGTGTTGCATCAACTCAGAGAAGGTTGTTTGTCATCCTAGAGCAAGCTTGCTTGGAGGCATACAGGGTTTCAAGTGGAGGAAAAGGCAAAGGCGGCAGGGAGGGTGATGTCAAGTACACTCTTCTCAACTGCGACGATCATCAGGGCATCCTCGCAAAAACTGGCAGAGATATTGCGGATGCCCGTCCCGATATTACCCATCAGGTGCGTGGTATCGAAAAAAAAATACGCGATTCCTTGATACTAAGTTTTTTTCGCTCTTCAGTGCCTATTGACACTTTTGGATTCGCCTCTAAACAAGGCGGGTCTACTGCAGGTGTACATCCACACTACAAAAGGGGTGCTCATCGAGGTTAATCCTCATGTAAGGATTCCTCGTACCTTCAAACGATTCAGCGGATTAATGGGTAAGTTACTTTTGTTGATCTTGTTTTCATCACTCATTTTTTTTTCAAGTTCAACTTCTTCACAAGTTGTCTATTCGTGGTGTCAATGGCCCGGAGAAGCTGCTCAAGGTAATCAAGGTATGTTCATTCTTTTCGACCTGCAATCATTGTTTGACCTTGTGTTTTAGAACCCCGTGTCCGACCACCTTCCTGTCAATACCATTAAACTCAGTCAGTCAACTCATACTTCCCGTAGATGCTCTTTCATCCCTGATCCCATATTTAGCCCTTTCCGGTGATGCTCCCACTGTCAGACTTTCCCGTTATCTTCCGACTCTTCCGGAAACACACTCAATTGCTGTCTTTGTGGGCGCAATGGCTCGGGGCCGCGATGACTTTGCCGATCATGTTGTAGACCACAAGATCAGTATCAGTGACTATCCTCTATCCGCGTCCGTCGCTTGCGGCAAAGTGAGTGCTTGCGCCAATACCTTGAACTGGATTCTCATTTCTTGATAGTTATGTTGTGGTCTAGAAGAGCTCTGGGACATCGTCTGATGTCCTCGTCTCCTATACTAAAATCTGAAAAATTATCGATCTGTTGTATCATATTGGCTTTTTAGGTTTAGAAAGCATTTCACTCTTTTCATTTTTTTCGCATACTACCTTCTATTGCATTCCTCACACACAAGTAGCATTTCAACCTGCGTTGCTCCGTAAATTTATCCGCTGAGCCGCATCGTGTACTACTAGTAGATGGATTACCCAAGCCCCCTCGCATTAGAACACGACTCAACTCGTGTTTCTGGGCTCTGGAAATAATGATGCGATTCTTGCTAGATTTGTGGTATTCTGCCTTTTGTTCCTTGTATGTCATCGAAGCCGTAGAATGTGTAATTGGAACACAGATACCAAATAGTGGAGGCTGTTGCTGTACTGTGATCCCGATTTTTAACTTTCAACGCCTCCACTTAAGCTTCACCCTTGACAATGTCCACACTTGAACAAGCCAGTGCCAGTCCGATGCCAAACGGCATAACTGATCCTAACTTCCGTCCCATGCCAGGGCGGGTTGGAAACCTCACCGTCCCGCAACAACATGCCCTTCAGACGTTGAAGAATCAGCTCCACGACGAAGGCCATTTCGTTGAGGAGAGAATGGACGATCCGATGCTCCTACGGTATGTTCCACTCCTCGATCTGGGAGTCTGTAGATGCACTCTGTGTCGCAGACCCGCTGTTCATGTCCGATTGGTCGTACAAGGGGTGTGTACTGACCCAGTCTGCAGATATCTAAGGGCACGCAAATTTGATGTCCCGAAGGCAAAAGCGATGTTACTAGCTGCTGAGCAGTGGAGACGGGATATGAAGGTAGATGACATCGTGCAGTTCGTCGCTTGCCTTTACCTCGTGTGCCGATTCGTCTGATCTCGCCCGCAGGAGCTTTGTCTTCACCGAGAAAGAGCAGGTCGATCAATACTATCCTCAATACTACCATAAAATGGACAAGGTAGCCGTCACAATCCTTCAGATCCGTTCTTTCGCTAAGCGCTGTCTTGCAGGATGGCAGACCGGTATACATCGAGCGGCTCGGCAAGCTCAATGTCCCAGCACTTTACGGCATCACGACAAAGGAACGGTTGCTTCAACGTCTCATCCTCGAGTACGAGAGGTTTCTCACAGATCGTCTCCCGGCATGCTCTGCAGCTGTTGGTCACCCCGTCGAGACGGTCTGCACCATCCTTGATCTGAAAGGCGTTTCCCTCTCTTCCTTTTACCAAGTCAGAGACTACGTAAACGAGGCTTCAAAGATCGGACAGGACCGATATCCGGAATGCATGGGCAAATTTTACATCATCAATGCGCCGTGGGGCTTCTCTGCCGTGTGGTCGTTGATCAAACCTTGGCTGGATGAAGTAACCGTATCGAAGATAGAGATTCTTGGGAGTTCATACCAACAGAAGTTATTACAGGACATCCGTGCAGAGGATCTTCCTGCAGATCTGGGTGGCAAGTGCAGATGTGCAGGCGGGTGCTCGCTGAGCGACGCAGGACCATGGAACCCGAATGAGAAGACAGGGAATGGTGTTGCTTAGAGATAGATATCCTACTAGCGAGCTGGTGGGCATGCTCTGGCGGTAGTCATCTACGTATACAACGTACTTAATGGATTGTCGTTTTAGCATTCAATGAGTCTTATTCATTTGACAGTAGACAAAAAGTCAGGAGTAAGTACATAGACATTAGGGCTGGCGAGGCAAATATCAGTCGGCGTACGTGACCGCTGGAGAGATGTATTAAAGGGCTTATGAGGCGAAAGATGAAGGAGGTTACGGAGCGACGAGATATCATTACTTAATTTTACAGAAGTCTGTCCCTTCAACTGGAGAGCTGATTTTGTGCCTAAAGAAAATTCAATGAGTAGGGCACGACTGGATGGAATGTCTTTTTACTTGTGTTTGATGTGCTGCTTGACACCTTCCAATATGAACCTCCGTTGTGAGCGATTGCAGTGTATGCAGCGATGGTCATTAGTCGAGGGTTGGGGTTTAGTCGAGGGGTGGGGTTTAGTCGAGGGCCGGGACAGCTGAGGGGGGGAAATGAAGAACTTCATTCCTGGTGGCGGTAGCTCGACAGGGGCCATGTCATAACTAAAGTCGACTCCTTGTTTCGGAACGGTGGTTCCATGCCTACCAGGTGTCAGTAAAGTAAGTGTAACAGAAGAAGTGATGGTATACCATCGTATATGATCAATGACAGTAGCCTTGTTAACTGGTTTTCCGTTATGCCTATCGCACTGGTTACAGTACCACACTAGATCAGTAGCTTTAGGATATTCGGGAGCATGTGAGCCTCGGATCACTCGAAGTTGCTCAGCACTCAAGAGCTCCCAGCGAGGTTCTCTGTGCGATTGCTCGACGCAATGGATGACCTAGAATGCAACATAATTGAGCAAGTTGTCAAAAGACAAACACAGAAACAAACACTCCGACGCCAGTCCATCGCCATCCGGTAAAATCCCCCGTTTTCTTGCTTGGGTGGACAGTTGGAGCAAAAAAAGAGATGCTGGAGTTGATCCATGGTAGTTGCAGCCGTAGTTTTGACATCAAGGCCAACTAAACGTAACAAAGAGCGAGCGGCAAGAATCCCAGATTGAGAGATTGAAAATGTGCAAGCTACTTTCATCGTCGACCATGCGCGATATGTGTGGCATTTATGATACTGAACTTTATCCCATGTGATCAGAGGCAAAGAGCGCGAGGAAGCGCATTGGAAAATAGAAGTGGCTAGTTGCAGTAAAATTTCTTCGGGGGTGTTGGTACCCTGATTTTGTAGCGCCAGGGTGTCTTGCGAGATACCGGAAAAAGAGCCAAGGCTCCGGATAAGTGCCAGCTTCGTTTGATGGACATACCCAGTGCAAAATTCGGGGAATTGTTCGGCAAAAGCAGGACAAGCACTGATATCGCTCTCTGGTTCTATAGCGGGCGGACCGTTGATAAAGTCCACGACATCACAGCGCTCCAAAAAGGATTCAAAAGGGGGTGCGGGTCCCCTTCGCAACTGCCGCACGTAGTTGTCATACATAACCTGCAGATGCGTCTTTCGGAGACGCGATGCATTTCTTTGGTCCTGGAGACGCCACTGTTCCTTCAATTCAGAAAGATTGTGCTCGATTCTTGGGAGTAAACGTTTCCACCCTGGAAACTGACGCAGTAAGGGGATAATTCATTGCAATGATGGTAGAAGCACTGACGTGCATCGGTAAGTTCCTTATCGATGGTATAATCACGATTATTGAACATGCGCGCCACATCGTTGGTATCGTGGCCCAGGCGAATTAATCTAGTTTTAATCCTGGGAGGATATCAAAACGTGATAAGATGACGAGGCAATGAAATATACTCACAACTCTTTATTTTGGCTGCGACGCTCAGCGACCGTCAATTGACGATGTTCGCGGTCCCTATTGACCCAACCATCACAGACCGTAACATGCTTCGAGGGTGTCAGATCTAAGAAAACCATTTGCAGAAATCTCACATTGAAAACAGAATCAACATATCTCTTGCGAGATTGCTTGAAGTCTTCCAGCCTTTTCTTGGCACCTGGTTTGAACATGTGCACATCCTTCTGGTATATCCCCAACTGAGCTGCTACTTTCAGTACGTCGTCCGACCAAAAAAACTTGCTGCCACTGGCATGACCATGAGCCCATCCACCGACTACTCAGGATGATCAGATACTAACAAGTCATAGTAGGAGTGTACCCACTGTTAGTGAACGGTGTTAAATCCATGATGATCGGATCGAGGCTCGGAAATGTTGATGAAAAGTTGGGTTTATAGACCAGGCTTGACGAATCGTTGGGTACATGCGGGCATAGTCATAAAGTAATGCTCACTTTTTCTTGAGGCACGAGGTACATACTCTGCGTCGGATACCGAAGTCTATCCTCGTAATTCCCTTGGTGCCACACACCTAAGGTGGTTGTCATGAAAGTGCAAAATGTGAGAACGGAAAGTATACATACATAACACTGAGAACCACCAAATAAGAGGTTGGCCCATTCGACCTCAGACATGCCAGGCATGCAGTTGGGAACACCGCCACGATTGACGCGGGCAGCTTTCCAGACTGAGACTGCATTATTAGATAAGAGAACCTTCCGGAAAGCTTTGGTCGTGCGTGACAGATGCAAAAGGTCTACCGGTTCCAAAAGACCAAAAATCTGATGGAGAGTGCAGGTTAGATAACGTGAGGTTCATACTCATCAACTAACCTCGAAAAGAATGTCAATCGGCATAGTGACGATGAGACTAAGGGTTTTCTTCTTTCTGCCAGAGCCATTTGTTGCTAGTACCACACCGGTGCTGAGTGCTTTCAAGTTAGCTACCCTAGCGCGCTTTTTTGCGGGTTGTTTTTCTGAAAGTAAAAGTTAGCAATTGAATATCAAGCTACGCGTCAAATTGCAATTACTATTATTTGTCTTTCCGTCATATTCACTACCGCTTGATTCACTGAATGTCTCCTCCAGGCTGCTATACCCGCTACTACCAGTACTGCCAGTGTCTTCCAGGTCCGTCAAAGGGGAGTCGTAGTCATCGGCCATGTCATGATCGCCGTCTAGAGACGTCGAGTCGTTATCCGAGTCAACGATGGGCGTCATCGGGACATAGACACAACGCAAACCCATGACGTGGTGAACTGGCACTGTGGACTGGGAGTCTGTAGAGTAGCGTAAAGCGAAACTGAAAGATTTATATATCAATATTTTATTAATATTAGCGCGAATTTAAACTTCAGACGTTCAACCACTGATCGATCCGATCCCGAAGGTGACGGGATAGACCACGTACGGGAAAAGGTCTACCATATCAAGTACAATATGATATAGTATTATAAGTGGAGACTGACGATGGCATGTGCCAGCACATCAAAGTTGGTGGTAGATGCTCACAGTCCTTTGCATAGAGATTTAGACAGACCAATGCAAAAATGTAACGGCAATACATTAATTAATGCCTGTACTATGATATATGAGGTTTGGTCTGCTCGGCTCAAGCTTGGTTACTCGCCTGAAGGATCGGACCCACTCGGACCCACTTTGTCAATAATCCCCGGGACCAAGTTGCGTAAACAAAATAAATGATCGACTTTCTTTGTCCAGGAGGAAAAGATTAAACAGCTGTAGTCGTAAGAATGGCGCTGAAAGAAAAGTAAATCCGCATACAGAGACAAAGAGCAGATTCAAGTTGTTCCAGCAGGAAGTACCATGCCATCGACACAGTACAGTACAGATAATATAAATAGTTTGTCGTCGTGATGCTCGTCCGTTGTATCTACACAACCTCAACAGGGCTAGCCTCCTCCATCCTAACCCATACCCCGTTCTATACATGACATGAGCCACTAGACAAATAACCAAAGTTAAGGAAGGGCTTACATGTGCATAGATGGTAAGATGGCTTTTGATGATGACCTTTTCGATGGCTTTGCGGCCAGAACACTCCGCCCACTCTGCAGGCGGAAGAGTCTGGACGTCGGTGGCCAAGGAGACTGAAGAGAACTGCTGGAGAAGTCGGACGAGGAAGAAAGAAGTCTCGTTATAGGCGAACTAGAGAAACATAGATGTCAGCGTGAATACTGTGTGAGAGCGGTCAACAAACCTGTTGCCCGAGACAAATCCTGGGACCTGCATTGAAAGGCACGAAGATGAATGGGTTAGGGGTACAATATTTCCGGAGACGATCGTCAAGGAACCGATCTGGGTCGAATTCTTGAGCTGGTGGAGAAGAATGTCAGTAAACATTCATTTCAACGAAACAGTCAATCTATTGTCGTGCTCACCATCTGGTCCCCACAAATCTGTTCGCCGGTGCATCAAGAATACAGAGTAAGGTGTCCTGATACATCCATCATCAGTTGAACAAACAAATCCATTTCTTGATGTAATCACCTAGTATTTGGAGGGATGTAGATCGGTTTCCCCCCATCGATTCCCGGCCAGACCGCTGGTTCTGTACTGGTCCTGATCCATAATGAGCACAAAGACATGCGCATGGACAGAGTAGCGTTTACCTGACATTGAATGGCCTAATATAATTAGAGAAATTCGATGAGATCAAGTACAAAAAGTTCAAGGGAGTGGACCTAATACTCACACAGGCGGGTAGAGTCGAAGCGTTTCTGAAATTGTCGTGTCACCTCAAGAGAAAGTGGCTTTTGAGTACGACTCACCATTAATAACTGCTCTCATGTATTTCATATCGCGCATATCATCATAGGTTGGTCTCCTTGAGCTACCCACCTTGCTAAGGATCTCCTCGCGAAGACGACGGAGAACATCGGGATGCTGTGTGAGCATGTAGATGACAAAAGTCAAGGTAGCTGCAGTCTGGAAAGAGCAGTCTTAGCATCCTGAGAAAGACCGTCCGAAAGAAATACATACAGTGTCACGTCCAGCAATCATGATGTTAAGAATTTCGTCCCTGATGACGATGGGGTCTAGAAGGAAACAAATTCATGTCATTTGGGATGATGCGTCAACGCTTGCGCTGCATACCCTCTGTGTAATTCACCAAGTGATCAAGCAGCGTTTCGCCTTCTTCGACATCCCTATCCTTTGCATCGGTCTTCTCGTCCATGTTCTCCTTGAGCATTTTGTTCTTTTCTAATGCTTCCTTGAGTATCGGGTCGATGAACTTGTAACAAACATCCATGTGCTTCTTAACACGATCAGTCCAGAATTCAGACAGGCGCCACGCTGAGCCAAACCGGCCGCGATAGGCAGCAGCAATCTGAGCCTCACTGAATGCATGCGCAAACTTGTTGGCTGGGTGATTCTCAAACGCGACGTCTTTAGAACGTGGCGACGACGGTGGGTAGATCAGGCCAGCGGAGAGAGAACAGACATCTTGTCCGAAGAGGAACTCTGTCGCAGAATCTAAGGTGAAACGAGAGACCATGTCCTAAAGCAACGTCAGCAGGAATAAGGATAGAATAGTCATCATAAGTTTACCTGGAAATCCACGGGGTAGCCATCTCTGAGTCTAATCTTCAGCTGGCTGATCGCGTCTTCCGCGTGCTTGTCAAATATATCGAAATGACTGACCCGGTCTTTGCTGAAGAACGGGCGTGTCATCGAGCGGTGGAATCTGTAGTCACTAGATTAAGCCTGTCGAACAATGAATGGAAATAGATAAGGCACACTTCCAGACATCCCCTGAAATAGATAGTAAACTATATTGTCACGGTGAAATATTGGAAACACACTCACCATCGGAATTGAACACTCCGGTGCCAAGGAGGGAGTTGACTTGGTCCGAAAACATAGGCCCTGTTAGTAGAAAATGTTATTCCATCAAATCGGGACAATACTCCGCACATGAAATCGCCGACCTTTCGCAAATGATGTGAACTTTGTTGCTAGAATTGCCTGCTACGCTTGAATGTCTGGAATTATAACATTCCGATGAACTCCTTACCTTTATGTGTTCTGGTTCGGCGGTGAAGATCTGTTGATCGCAACATATCAACAATGAAACTGAGGATGTGAAAGAATGTACATGCCCTGTTTTCAAAGAGGACTCGCATGTTGAAGGTATGCCCAAGAGTGTTACACTGCTTTTCCATTAATTCCCCTACGATCGCGATCGTAAGTATTGATAGGAGAAAGTGAAGTGAGTTGTCGAGTATCATACCCATATATCCAATCTTGAAATTTTGTACCAAGGCTGCGAGGAGATCCAGACTGCCAGGCCATTTACTTGGAAACATGGGTGGAAGGACAGCACCATGCATGGCAGCCTGGCGCCTATCATGGTAATTTGCTGCGAGCACACTGCAAGTAAACAGAGCAGGGAAAGATAACACATATGCAGGAATCTGCGACCATCCTTGCAAGGATACGCCGAATGCAAAATCGCAGATGCGGTTGAGACCATAAACTATCGTTGGGGGCAATAGGAGATGTGGCAGGCAACCGATGAGGTAGACGATCCCAGGTGGTAAATCCATTGTTAAACTGTGTGTTTGATCTGAAAGGTGTAGCCGACTTTATAGTAGGGGCTGGCAGAATCACATGTACTGTTTTTGTATGTGGTTCCGGGACAAGAAAATTGAATTGGGCCCATTATCACACCGCCGACTACTGGCCGCCGCTAAGTGCATGTGTGAGGAGCTTACAAATTCCGCTCCGAAGGATGTCACAGGATGTCACAAGGTATCACCCGCCGGCGCCATCATCGTTTCAGACTCCGCGATATCGCTATTGCTCTGTGCAAGAAATAATTTATAGAGGTGTGCATAGTATGTTGGTGTTCGGTCATCGGGTACATATATATAATTAATCACCCGGACATGAAACCGCCGAAGCGGGCTGAAGCCCACATGTCTGGTTGTCGGTAGTACCTTAGTCTAACAATTGATCGCTGATGCCCGAAAACGCTGCGGCGCAATATGTATGTAAGTCACGCACAGCTGCTTGCTTGGGAAGGCTGCGAATTACTATGAGTCGGCGGCGATTGTGCTCAATATGCTGTCTACCATTAGGAATTGCGGCCACCTGTGGCGAAGGATACAATAATATTAATACCACTATCAACGTACCGAAGGAAAGAATACGTACAGTTGTCGTTGATGTTATCAAACTTTTGTCAGTGGCGCATCTGTTTGGTTGTGCAGATACTCGATGATCGCACTGCTCTGGGAAATAACAATGTGATCTGCCCTGCAAGGTTGCCATTTCTACGATGTGATACATCAGATGACTTCCTGTAGGACTACCGTGAGTTACCCAAACATTCTATACGAGAAACCAAACCCTAAGTCAACGAAACATTATGATGATATCATACATCAGTATCAACCGCTGCAGAATGAGATGGAGATGGAAGTCGTTGACGAAGAGTGTGAACAACAGGATCGATAAACGTGCAGATGTCGGCGATCCCGCGATGTGGTTGCCACGTAGTATACTTCATTTATGAGTATAGATCTTCAACAAAATATAGTATCGTAGAGGGAAAGACCCAAATCAACCAATCACCTTGTACTCCTCAGGCTCGAAAGCGTCTCTGTATATGCCAGCAGTCCGACGGCTGTCGGCTGTCGTCATTCTGGACCTTCATGGCAATGCGAAGGGCCATGGCATGCTTACTGTCCAACGGCATGGTACAGATGCAGAAGGTAGGGTTGGAAACATTCTTGATTGAACTTTCGCATTGGACACTAGTTGTCCGTCGGGTGTTGATGACGAAACATCGAAGAAGGTACCGCTGTCAGCCTGTCCCTTGGCGAGCGCTAGCGTCAGGTTCAGAGATTCAGCTCAGATCAAAAAGCGTCCAAGCCAGTGCCTATACGCACAAGGTAATCATGCGAAAGTGCAAGGGATTCGTGAAGTGCGTCGGGAGCGGTAGTAAGTATCGAACGGCGCTGGACAAATGCCGCGCGGTAAGATTATGTCAGCGAATATGAGTGTCCTAAAAAGGCAAAGTTTGAGTTTATTCCAGTTGGAAGGAGATTTAAAGTTTGTTGGGAAGACCCTTCAAGTTGTCGAATAAACGGTCACCCGGCATCACGACACACCTCCCTGAAGTATCACCTCACGGGAAGTCATCCATAGTATTCCTTATTAGTTGCAGGACTGAACCTGACTGAGCAGCCAGGCACGAGGCATGTCCCCCTTTTTCATTTTAGTAATTTTACTTTTGAACGCAGCGCCGTCAGCTAGCACATGAAAAGTGCTTGGGGGTGCGGCTGCACGACCAGAGTCAGTGCGGTCCATATCCTTACTTCCGACTTTGCAGCAATTCTTCCAGATTCTTATCGACAAGTAATGGCATGTCGGTCCTGGAATTGAGGTATGTACTTGGATGTCTCGTTCAAGGTCATTTCTTGACACACTTGAATATAAACTCTCTGCATTGAAAGGCTTGAGCCAATATTTTAACCCTCATCTTTCGGTGAAGCACGCCTCACCATCAATGGCTGCGGAGGGAGTAAAGGAGGAGAATGTAAGGGTCAGATCCTGGAGGCAAGCGAGTCAGTGACAAGGAGACATCAGTGAGTACACTGCCAAAATTTGAAGTCATGTCTGGTCAGTTTAAATTTCAAATATCTTTCTCGCATTTGGTATGACATGCTCCTAAATATTGTTAACCCTGACGTGTAAACCATTGGGTAGTAGGGTAGTTCATAGTAATAGTGTAATTCATAGTAGGGTGAAATACGGTAGCAGGTGTATTAATGGGGGCACTCAGGTGAATGTTTTCCCGACGTTCGACCCTTTGTGTTGCATTGATACTATAAGATCGTATCACCTCAACGATTCTATCCCGATCCACATGGTCCAAGATGGTCAATTGCCTATCACAAGCCTGAATCCAAGTCTGAGCCTCTGCTCTCATTGTGGAGGTGAGGTAGGAAGAGACTGCGAGCTTGATGGCCCTACAGGTGATTTGCTGGCCTCCCGACACGAAATAAAGTGTCTGCGACACAAGCGTTAAGTGGACGATGTAGGACATGAAGTGCTGAATCACTGGTGCGTGGCTGAAGAAGTGTCGATGTCCTTGGGCAGGTTCAACTTCGACCATTTTTATTATCGATTCCCTGAACTTTTGGCTGTTCAAGTGCTATGCACAAATCACGTTAGGGCGGAAGTGAAGATGACAAATAAGATAGCCATTACATGGTGAAGGTCATAGAAATTCCACACATTGACGATGTCAGTATGAAGCATATGTAGAAAATCCCACATCTTGTGCTTCTTGAATATTGTGCAACAACATGAAAACGTCTTCCGGTATTCTGCAAGACAAGAATATTCAGATTGTATTCAGTCATTATCAACGCGAACTAGGACAGACTTTTCTTGGCAATTCTGACACTACGTAAATCACGAGATAAGAATGAAACAAGTAAGACTCACTCGAATGATGCCTTTATTTTGAGTCCAGGATCCACTCGTTGAGCGACTCGGATGGAGGTCATCACTGTAGCTTCGGACGCAGAATGCTGACTGACACAGTTTTCGGTTATCTGAATCAGGTGGGTGAGTGTCTTCTTATAGTCTTCGTTGACTGGAATATTGCACTTCAGAGGCACACATGAACTTGATGAAGTATTGATACACACTAGAGATCGCAGCGTGGGGAATATTAGACCCTGCAAATTTCTCTAGAGGTCTGATGCAGATATTCTGCAGCTCGGCTTCTGCATTCTTCTTTGCGAGTTCCTTGATCGCTTCATTGCTCAATCCTTCGAGGGAGGTTTTATCTAGAGTTTGCTGTATCTGATTGACGAGCCTATCGTATTTAGTAAGAACGACAATGACGGGAACTTTGGCAAAGTGTGAGCTCCAACGTAGGAGAGAGATAGTTATCGATTCACTCGCCGTTTCCAAGTATTCCACTACGTTTCAATGTCAGAAATTTCTTCGTTCTCGTGTCTAGCAAACGTCCGCCTGTACGGGGTGTCTGAAGGCAGAGCCTTCCGTGTATTTGTTCAGTCCACCATAACGGAATGGTCGAGATAGAATCCCTACCAAACAGCATGCAACTGATGTTCCGGAGACATGTTCCTCCGACGGTCAATGAAATCTCGGATTGTTTCAAGGTTGTCTCTGAGTCCAAAACCTTTGCTACCGAGGAGAACAAATTTGTCGTTTTGAGGTGAGATGAACTCATGATTAATGCTGGCCCCGCGCAAATCGATCTATTGATCATATAAGTAGCTGTGTTCGTTGAAGCGTCGCATTCAACCCACCATTTATTCCACTGCAAATACGTGGCTGATTAGTGATGACTTGCTGACGTCAGTCTATTAAAAGCACGGCGTCAACACTGGCCTGAGATCGAAAAACGCCCAATACCTTTCCTATCACTAGAATTCGGAACCTTGGGAGTGTCAACCTCAAGAATGACACTTGATTATCATCCTGACTCACCGAGGAATAGTTATTGGATTCCTAGAAAAGTAGACGACGATTCTGATTTTGTTATGATGTGTGGTATATTCTACGCATGTGAGGTTGAGTTCGTAAGTGATCAAGGTAAGAATGCGATGATTATTGTCTCACCGTGTCCTTTGCTTGCACTATACACGTGGAACATATCTTCTGGGTTGAAAATACAATCTTCGGTCTTTGTGTTAAACCATGGCTTGTCAAGGCAATCCATATGTAAGGAAAATGTATCCCCATGAGAAAGCACCCTAGAGCGAAAATACAGTAGCAACTCATGTGAGAATATGCGTTAGAGTCGAGTACTTACATGGGTGGAGAAAATGTCCGTCGTAAACTCTTTCTTCCTTTGCGTTCAATTGGCACACGCGACTCGCCAATCCATACTTGAGCAGACTCTATATCCAGTTTCGACTTCCTGGAATCGACGATGATACCTATTAGATCGTCTATTCAGCGGAGTTGATGATACTACGTAATGACATACCAGATATGTTGAGAGGACAAGGAACTGTTGAGGCGTGCAAAGTATTAGCCATGCTGATTTGATTTAGGGAAACTGAGTCACTGTAAATTGATATATAGAGGTTGAGTACAAACAGCGGCCAAGTGTCAGCGCTTTAGTTGTGGTGCCCTCGTGATGCGCCCAGTGGATATTGAATGGAAACCTAATTTATTGGAGGCCCAATGACCATTGCCCACTGAATCTAGGCGCTGGCTTCGGGGTTGGGTATCAACGCCGGGCTGCAATGATTGCGAATCGCAATGGCAGATAGAAGCCTGCGATTGGAATAGTGAAAACATCGGCTCCACAGGACATGATGACCCTCTGGGCTCTACTGACTGGCAGTTGAACAGTCGAAGACGTGCGTTACGTAGAGCTTGACGAAAGAAGGGATACCGACAGTTAAAGATGTATGCCTTGCACGAGGGGGCTGAGGCGACGTTACCTACTCTGACAGGTTGATCACAGCACATGATGACCCTCTGGGTCCTAAGATTGACAGTTGAACAGTCGAGGACGTGCGTTACGTAGAGCCTGATGAAAGAACAGATACCGACAGTGTTTCTAGTTTCACGATGAAGACTATTTTGACATGAGCATTGAGTATTGAGCGTATGCTTCACTCAAGAGGAGATGTTCCACTTGATATTATTCCAATGCCGTTCGCGGCACATGGTACTTTCACGAGGAGAAAGCGAGTCGTCCGCAGCTCGTAGATAGTACACTTGAACGACTCGGCAGTGTATTCTCGTAAGGAATAAAAAAATGCAAATGAACTTGAGCGGTTGCATTTAGAGTGACATGGTAACAGTGAATCCACATCACCGAAATTGCAGTTCCTAGCTATGCAATTTTGACGAAGTAGATGCTGGTAGGTGCCCGTTTACAGTGAAGACTCACAGCCGCAGAATCATAGTAAACAACAGGGTCACTGATTCCTCCATAGTCTTTTTACAATAGGGTAAGTCTGACCACCAGCTAGTAGCCTAGGACCAACAAGGGAGAACGACAGAATTGTCAATTATCGGCGATGTTGCTCAGGTAAAGAGGCTTATGAGTCGTGAGAAGCTGTAGTGGTTTCATCCGCAGGGCTGCTTTAACAGGTGGTGTGTCAAAGGAACAAGGAGGTCATCCTGGCGGACATTGCGGAGACTCGCTTGAAGCTTCAAATGATGGTGGGCCTGGGCCTGAGTACCTGTTACGTAATGAGTTATCTGTTGTTCGCGCTACATAGGTGAGCTTGGTGACAGTGCGTAGACATTCAAGAAAATGTGTCGTAAAACTATTGAAAAGAGTAAAAGTAAACTGTAACATCCAGGCTTAACTTATGTGAGTGCGTCTCTAGTCGTAAAATATCAAAAGCAATGCCATTCTAGTACAGCGGAGACACGATTCCTTTTCACTGCCTCTTTGATCACGTTTAGAAGCACTCTGCAGTAGAATTGAATGAGATCGAGAGGTAGTAATACGTCGAGAAATACGCACTGCGATGGACGATACCAGGACCGGACTCGTCGTACTCCTGCTTTGAACACCACAGATTCTGGAAAGTGGACAGGGAAGCCAAGATGGAACCACCGATCCAGACAGAGTATTTCCGCTCGGGAGGAGCGACGATCTTGACCTAAAACGATGATGAATGAGATTATGTCTCATATCCTGAAGCCTGGTACTAACCTTCATGCTTGACGGCGAGAGCGAGGTCAATTCCTTCTGCATACGATCGGCGATGCCAGGGAACATGGTAGTACCACCCGACAAGACGATGTTACCATACAAGTCACGACGGACATCAAGATCGCACTTGAAGATCGAGTTGTACCTAGAAAGGGAAAAAATCAGACAACATCCCTGGTAATTGATATATTTGCTTACGTCGTTTCATGAATACCCGCAGCTTCCAGACCAAGGAATGAAGGCTGGAATAGAGCTTCGGGTGCACGGAATCTTTCACGATTATATGAGATGATGTGATGACCAATGATCGACAGGGGATCATCTTACCGCTCGTTACCGATCGTGATGACGTGTCCATCAGGAAGTTCGTAGCTTTTCTCGAGGGCTGATGACTGTGCGGCAGTTTGCATCTCCTGCTCAAAGTCAAGGGCGACGTAGCACAGCTTCTCCTTGATATCGCGGACAATTTCACGTTCGGCGGTCGTCGTGAAAGAGTAACCACGCTCGGTTAGGTTCTTGATGAGACAGTCAGTGAGATCACGACCAGCAAGATCGAGACGGAGAATGGCGTGTGGAAGAGAGAACCCTTCGTAAATAGGCACAGTGTGGGTGACACCATCACCAGAGTCCATGACAATACCGGTGGTACGACCGGAAGCGTACAGTGACAAGACAGCCTGAATTGAGACATAGAATGCAGGTGCATTGAATGTCTCGAACATGATTTGGGTCATCTTTTCACGGTTAGCTTTAGGGTTGAGAGGAGCCTCGGTCAGCAAAACAGGGTGCTCCTCCGGGGCCACGCGAAGCTCGTTGTAGAAAGTGTGATGCCAGATCTTCTCCATGTCATCCCAGTTCGTGACGATACCGTGCTCGATGGGGTACTTGAGCGTTAAGATACCACGCTTGGATTGAGCTTCATCACTGTGTAGATGTAAGCTCACGACGACTACGACTGAGGCAAAGCATACCCGACGTAAGAGTCTTTCTGTCCCATACCAACCATGACACCCTGGTGGCGCGGACGACCAACGATAGAGCTGTACAATTTCTGTGAATACCCCGCGCATAAGGGTTGTATAAAATGTGAAAACGTACGGAAAGACGGCACGAGGAGCATCGTCACCTAAAGAAGGCAGTCAGTTGTGTATCTTTACAATACCATGGATCGTGTTGAATCACCAGCGACTGCGAGAAGGTCAGACAGTGAAATAGATTAGATCGAGGATAACTTACAGCCAGCTTTGCACATGCCGGAACCATTATCAATAACCTGACAAGTTTGATGATATGCTTGCTAGACGGAGTGAACGACGGGTATGGAATTGAACTTACGAGGGCTGCTACTTCATCTTCCATGGTAAATTATTTGTTGTTTAAGGGTGGTCTTGATGGTTGTTGGAGATCAAGTTTGCGTTGCGGATCTTATTTGAATAGTTCTGTTACAGAAAGCGCAGTCGCGCAGCCGCAAAACTTCGCAGGGCTATGCAACGTGATGGCTATCATGATGGTCAGATTTAGTGCCGTCGTTGCCAAGTTCAAGCCTGTACCGCAGTAAAATTATACTGCGTGTCCACGGGTGTCAGTGACCACGAGGATCGAATCATGATACCCCAAGTCAAGTGTGAAATCTTCCGCGAAGTTGATAAAATTGTCAGCCTCTTATTCCCATGCTGAGATCAGAAGGATGTCACTGGGACCAAGCTGAGCCGACTTTGACGGTTTGACCGACTTTCGACTCCATCTATCATGGCACCTTCCAATATTAATGGCACCAACACAGCTAGCTTCCCAGTTGCATCTACATCCAGTCCTTCCCGCCCGGCCCAGGTCAATCAAGGCTCATTTCCTGTCGCAAACATCGTCATTCTCGCAATCTGTATGATTGGCATGAGTGCCCTTGTAATCTGCGTATTTCTTCGGCACCGCTCATCAACCAGGATCAAGCAAAGCTCGTCGAATGCCAATAAAGACGATCCAAGGCCGTTCAACAGACTGTGGTCTCGTGCACTCTCGTTGTTCTCAAAGTTGCATGATCTTTGGCGTTCGAAAACCAAGTCAGCCACCAAGTACAAGCAGAGCGAGATCAGCGCGTTGCATGCGACATGCACCTTCGTCGCTGCTGCACCATCAAAAGTTCTGGCCCCTCCTGTCGTAATGCAGTTCAGAGACACAGAGAAGTTTGTTGTGCTATGTTCGGTCTGCTGCCCCTTGTCGGTGCACCATGCATGTGGCGATCCGAAGTCGTGGGTGAGTGCGGTCGATTCTTACAACACAACCACAACTCACACGACTCAGGTGCAGAGTCCTTTCAGCGACATTCCACATCTAGTCCAAGAGCAGCTTCCCGTGAATAATCAAGCATCAAGTATTCCCGAGTGTCAGCCGTATGGCGTCGATATCCCGCCTTCCGATCAGGATCACTCACCTACCATCGAGCTACCCAACCTTTCTGTTGAAGACCAGCCCCGATCACCTTTTGCTCCACCAGGAGGGCCAAAGAGGACGCTTGCTCGAGAAGATCTGCCAGTTTTATTTGTAAAGACACCCCCAAGATAACATGTTAGTAATAGCAAGCAGTTGTACGAGCCTTGCGATTTCATTCCTTCGCACATATATTATCAAAGAATTATGAGAGCTATCGGCCCCAACGTCGTAAACTGTCGGCAAGCTTACACCTTAGGACATTTTCTACCGTGAGTAACAATCAGATGTCTGTACACTACGTGTGTTGTCGTCTTTTCCTCTTCTCTTGGAAATGGAAATAGCGTTCGAATGCCTCGACGACATCGTACGAAGGTCTAGCACGACTTTCTCCAGCGTGAGCCCTTGACATCCGTTGAATGTCGTTGCATAAGTAGGTCGCAGGAGAAACTGTTTTGGGTCCAGCTTCGCACTGATCTGATTGAAAGAGAAGGTAGTGGGTAATGGATTTCTTTGGTATGAGATGCTGAACTTCCACGAATCTACGATGAAGACGGACACGTGTATGCTGAATGTGATGGTATAGTTAGGAGAGAAATGACATAACTGTGGCAGAGAAGTCACAGGTAGCACAATTGCAAAAGAAGGGGTAGAGACGGAGATGAGCAAAGAACACACGTAAATAGGACGTGCTCACTGATCATGTGCACACTGTCTGGTGAGCGCTTGAGATATTCAGAGAACATGTGGAGCTCAGTGGACGCGAATTGTTTCTAAGGTTTGACATACGTACTACACTACTACGATGCTAAATTTCCGCCTTGACCTGTATTGAAGCACATGATTTGGCCAGAAGTAGCAAGGTCAGATTTGCCATCAGAACGAGCAAGACGCCGTGATAAAATATTATGGTACCGAGCAAGACACTGGCCATGATCAAACAACATTGGAACTTCGGGAGAATATCAGTAGCCGACAAAATTTATGTGGCGATTTATGTAAAAGTGTACAATACATAAGTACTTAAGTATCCCTGTTGATTTGCGATAAGGGGAGGTCCACGGTGCCAACGCCGGCCTATGTAGGACGATGGCATCATTGGCATGTGGAGCTCAGAGGAAAAGATGGAGTACAATTGCACCGTTGGATATATTCGTGAACGCCCTGATATATATCGGCGATGAGTGAAGGAGGTTGCGGGTTGTGTTTCAAAGTACGATTCAGCAGAGAATGTCATTGTATTAGACATCACGGTGTGAATCGACCCTGCACTGTGCAATTTACATTATGTAACCAAAGTTCTGACCCTAACCTTAGCCTCGCACTTCTCCTTGCACCAACCAACCAACCAACCAGGCCGTACCGTAGTGACTGTAACTCGTGAGGCATGACCTCAGGCCCTCATAAGCCAGGCCCCAAATCAACATTAACATCAAAACTTGACTATCTGTGGCCTCGTGCGTTTGGTTAATCTTGGTACCACAATCACTGTTACCGGCGCTGCCAGCCGACAACTGATCCTCAATTAAATTACAAGTTCTTCAGCCTAACTTGCACGATCCAATAATGGCACAATCTTCGATCATCCCCATTCTGCATCAAGGCTACCGGCTTATCTCCTTTCAAAATTATATGCAGACACCTTCCAAGGTCCTGACATGCTACTAGTACCATCACATAGTACCTAATATCGTGTGACCATGATAACTGCTAGTCTGAATCTCGCATGGCCTCCGTACTTGATCGAGTGGCACCTTCGGTCATTTACGTTCTTCTTTTCCTGCACACGAAGGTTTCATTCAAGCTATTATGGCCTAGCACTACACCTAGGGTCGTGCAGATCATATCCGAATCACGGCTTCGTGGTACGTTATTATTTTTGAACGGATCGACAGATCATTGTTACAACCCTAACTCCGTAGCAGTACACCGTCAAGACCGGGGCGCTAAGTAGCCGTTTTGCGGTGCGGATTATTTTGAATTAGTTTAAGGCTATCTACTTCTGCAATATAAAAGCTGCAAGAGCATCACAATATTATCCTGCTTCTCCCTACTCTCGCCAAGGGCAGCCTCACTATCCATCGTGAAAAATCGCGATGTTTATTCTTTGTCTGCTCGTTTCTCTCATCTCATCGCTTGATGTAACAGCTATAGCCGTGTCTCGCTCAGAGTACCCGCTATCTCAGGGCGCTGCACATGGTCCCTCAACTAGATTGACCATAGGCAATGCAGTCCTCGCTCCCGATGGCTTCCCGCGCCCGTAAGTCTATTATCATAGCATTCAAACTCGTTCCTGATCTTTGACAGAGCAACTGTTGTCAATGGCATGTTTCCTGCACCCATGATTGTAGCTCAGAAGGTAATTATTTTAAATATTCTTGTTGGGTGCCAGTGCTGACCTCACGATAGGGTGATCAGTTTAATATTGAGGTGGTCAACCAACTCACCGACGAATCGATGTTCCTGCTTACCAGTGTTGTGAGTAGTTTCAAATCAGCATGGATGTTGTTAAAATTAATCTTGTTTATGGTAGCACTGGCATGGCATCTCCCAAAATCGGTCGAACTATGCCGATGGGACGGCCTTCGTCACACAATGCCCCATTACGCAGAACCACTCTTTTCTACATACTTTCACCGCCGAAAACCAGACGGGCACTTTTTGGTATCATAGCCATTATTCCTCTCAATATGCAAGTATCACTCGAACCTTGCATATGCAGTGAAGGACTGACCTATGGAACAGTGCGATGGTCTCAGGGGAGCCTTGATAATCTATGACCCTGACGACCCTATGGCACACATGTACGATGTCGACGATGGTGAGCGAGAAATTGGATCATATGAACTCTCTGACCATCATGTATTTCCAGAAACTACCGTGATCTCACTTTCTGACTGGTGAGTTTTACAAACGTGGTCAATTTGTTCGATCAGCTCAGGATCACTAGGTATCATGTTGTATCCCCCAAATTGCTCGCTCTTCCATCTAATGCCGATTCTATGCTCATCAATGGACTCGGTCGCCATGTTGGCGGACCCCCGTCTGATCTTGCAGTGATCAATGTGACGCCGGGAAAGCGATATCGCCTGCGCCTGATTCAAATGTCATGCCAATCCGACGTCCAATTCTCCATCGATGGTCACAGCTTGACTGTCATCGAAGCGGATGGACAGCTGACAGAACCTCTGGTAGTAGACCAACTCCAGATCCTTTCAGGCCAGCGCTACTCTGTGGTTCTGGTAGCCAATCAGCCGGTGAGAAACTACTGGGTACGCAGTCTTCCTAATACGCCGGGTGCAAACTACATCGGAGGATTGAACTCTGCTATCCTACGCTATCGAGGCGCCCCAGCGGTCAACCCGATTACGGTAACTCTTCCACCCAAGAACCAATTGCAAGAGACCAACTTGCATGCTCTGGGCAGTCCCGGTGTTCCTGGTACTCCAGGGTACGGGAACGCAGATATCAACATCGACTTGGAGGTTAGCGTTAAAGCCCCAGACTTCCAATTCTATGTCAATGGCATCACATTCGGAAACACCACCCTTGGAAACAGCACCGTTCCTGTTCTACTCCAAATTCTTAGTGGAGCTCGACAAGCTACTGAGCTGCTCCCAGCCGGAAGTGTTTACGTTCTCGAGGCCAACAAAGTGGTAGAGGTGACGATAGGAATGCAAAGCGCTATAGGTGGACCCGTACGTCTTTTCCATTCATTCGATCTTTACGTGACTGATGCATATTTATATTGTACCAGCATCCTATTCATCTTCACGGGGTAAGTTCGCCGTCATTCCGAAGGCATTTCTGACTGGTGCTCCTGATTATTAGCATGCATTCGATGTAGTACAGAGCGCGGGCAGCAATGCTTACAATTACGTGAACCCTGTTCGCCGCGATGTGGTCAGCGCTGGGCACCCTGGGCAAAGAACGGTGATCCGATTCGTCACTGACAACTCTGGCCCCTGGTTCTTGCATTGGTATGACACCTTTGTATCGAGCTGTCAAGAAAGATACTAACTCTGAACCAACAGTCACATCGACTGGCACCTTGCAGCGTAAGTGTGTAAATCTTCCCGTGAACGAAATGGCTAATCCTTCACATTCAGCGGTTTCGGCGTGGTTTTCGCAGAAAGTCCCGCGGATACCCCCGCATATGTGGACCCCGTGCCAGGTGGGTCATACGTTAAGAATCCGTTCTTCAATTGCTGAATTGCTTTACAGCTGAGTGGGACCGCTTGTGCCCAATCTATGACAATCAGCCGAATTTCACGCTACCTCACATCCCTAACATTCAGATTTGATCATGCCATTTCAACCACAAGGGGTCGGCGTTGCCGTCGTGAACCTTGCTTAGTCCTCCTGTTGTCTGCTGTGACCAAGCCAACAGGGCTAAATGTAAATCTCATTGTACATTTTCAAATCTTGATGTATATGGCCGATATGTGGGGTTCTGATCTCTAGCCATATTTCTTGTATTTGTATTCTTTTGGCTGCGCTCTCTCTTCCAATGCGTTTACGTTTATATTCCCAAATACCTGCTTTATAGAAGGGTGGAAAATGATTGTCATGACCGTTCTGTTATTTGATGCGTGGAAAATGCTTTCCGGTTGCCGATCATCACGACCTGTCTTCTTCTGCCATGTCTTGAGTATTCTTGAGTATACAGCACGAAATACCATGCCTGTAATGTCTTCAACACAGCTGACTGCTCTTCGGAACATGACCGTCGAAAACGGATTAGTACAAAGTGCACTGCCTGAACTCTTTTCCCTGAAGGTTCTCTTCCGTGGCAAAGGTTAGCAAAGCTAAGCAGTTCGGTTCTCCATTCATCTTTGTTGTTCGCAACTGACACTCAAAGCTCACAGCCGTGTTACCCTGCAAGCCTGCTCCATTTCTAACTTCGATGATGCAATTCTTCCTATTCTGTTCGGCCCCGGATTACATGTCGGCAAAGTGAGTCGTGTAAGATCTCCATCACCACTCACCAAGTATATTTTCTTGTCATCTATAAGGAATATATTATTACTTGTTATCTGGACCCTGCACATCGCCTGCTTTGTGCTCACTACCTTTCTCGACAACTCCGGGTCTAGAAGGTCCCCTCCTGCTCCACATTTCCCTCGGGTTTCTAAGTTCGTCTGTCTAGGGAAACTGGCTTTGACAGCAGCAGCATGGCTTGGAGCGATTCCATAGGAAGCTCAGCTTGATGGTCGATTTTTTTAAATCCTTGTTTGTTGTCCGCTGGGCCGAGGCCCTACGTTGGATCTATAATACCGTGTCTAGTCTATTTCCGTTGGCCGTATCATGCTGTCTATCCTGTACAATGGTCCCGGCTTGCGCCAGGACGCCTTCTTCAGATTCTTGATATGGTAACATGTTTCATTGCGCTTCCTCTACTCCTTTTAGAACTGGTCTCATCCCTTTCCCTTTGCTTAACAGGTACTTGGTGTTGCACTGTCCTGGGCCGACCTCTCTACGCATCACCTCTCCGGTTGACGAAGGCCAGGCATACGAGAAGAAACCCGATCTGTGTATCCTACTGTCGAACTTGATCCTCTGTTGTCGCACTCATGCCCTGCAAATCTTGCTTC